TCTAGTGTCACTTCCAAAAGATACTTCTGTTGCATTAAAAAAAAAAAAAGACAAAAATAAGAGAGAGAAGTACTAGTAACAGGTGCTTGATCTGAGGTATCACAGTACCTGCTTTACTGTACTTTTGTGGAATTAGCTGAATATCTCCTGGTCACCCCTTTTGCCTGCTTTTGATAGGGTCAGTTGAGGCCCAAGGCAGGTGGCAATCCAGGCTGGACTGAGGCAGTAAAAGCAGCCCCTCCTAGCCTGCTGGATCTGTTTGGCTTTTATGATGACTCTCATTGCTATTTCTCTTGTTCTGACTTACTGAGTTAGGAGAGCAGTCTGTCATTTAAGCAAAATAAAAACCAGCTCCAAAGCAACAGATAGCCCCAAGACCTGATCCAGAAAGCAATTAAGGTGATTTAAAAGAATTGTTTGCAGTATGAGGGGTCCAAATGTTCATGGAAAGACCTTAGGAGGTAGTCTTGTCCAGCCCTTTGCCTGCAGCAGGCCCCCACAGCTTGGGCTGCTCCTGGCCATACTCAAGTGAGTTTTGGCTATATGCAAGGAAGGAGATTATGCAGCCTTTGTGACAGCCTGTTCTGGTGCCTAGCCACGTCATTGTTTTAAAAAACAAGCCTTGCCTAATTTTTTTTCACCTGCATTGCAACAGGTTTGTTTTCTTTAGTTTTAATCACTGTGTGCTTTCCAGAAGATTCTGTCCCTCTCTTCTCTGTCTCCCCAGAGTAGCTGCAAAGAGCAGTAAAATCTCTACCAAGTCTCCCTCAGTTTGAAGGTTGGAAGGGAAGGACCCTCAGCTTTCAGCACCTGGCTCTTTACCAGAATTGTGTGAAAGAAACTGTATCTAAACAGGTTTGAGTTCACGGATTGATCCACTCCACCGAGTCACAGATCAAGTTGAATTCACTGATCAGACCGTGTGATGTGAAGTGTGAATGCCTCTGGCTCCTGCAGTCAGCTGCCAGCTGGCACTCCCTGGAACCTCAGGGCTGCTTCAGCAGAGAACTGGGCTGGAAATCACACAGACCACAGCCCTAACCAGATAAAGGCACTCGTGGTTATGTGTGCCTTTCTGAATTCATGTTCTCGCTTCAGTGACTTCTGTACTCAGACAAAACCAAAAGTAAAGATGAGATTTTAAATGGTGTATTGTTAGATTGATGTTGACCAATCCGTTTGCATCAAAGGAGGTTTAGATTGGATATTAGGATTATTTTTTTTCACTGAGATCAAGAATTGGAATTACCCAGGAAGGTGGATGAGTAATCATCCCTGGAGGTGTTTAAAAGTTGTGTAGGTGTGGCACTTAGGAACATGGTTTAGTGGTGGACTTGGCAGTGCCAATTTAACAGTTGGACTCTGTGATCTTAGGTGTTTTCCAGCCTAAATGATTCTATGACTATGTCTGAAATCTAATATTTTTCTTTTTCAATAGTGATTTGTTTCAGAAGGGACAAAATATTCCCAGGATTTAACACTTCATTTTTAGTAAGATGTTCTTTCTATACCAACCTCCATGATCAGCATTGCATAGGCCAGCTGCTGGCATAAATGCTCTCTATTAAACATGAGAATGCAAGTCATGCATACAGGTTAGTAAGTATTAGTTTTTGAGATAATCCTTCATAAGAGTCTTTGAGCAATGAAGCAGACTTACCCTTGCAATAGCTACCACAACCCAAAACTTTGAAAGTAAGGCCCTTCTCAAATTTTGAAGTATTTGTAGCCATTTATAGCTGTTTCTCTCTTGTTGCAGTCTTGCCATAAAAGGCAGTGCTGGATTTATCTGGCCTAGAGGTTCATTTTTTGAAGATGTAGTGTGTTCTTAAGCAGTGAGACAAATATTTGCTTTTGTTCCAGGTTCTCCATAAGCTCTTCAGCAGTAACACCTTGGGTAGGAGTAATACAGAGTTTATGTACTGATTCTTCTGTATCTGTTCCTACGTTCCAGCAGCCATTCATTGCTTCCAAATAAACAACAGAACTATACTGAATTTGTACTTATGTTAACAGCCTATAAGTAAGACTTAGTCTAGGCATATCCATTGAAAAATTCCAGGTATCTCTCTTTGTATTCGTATTCTACTTTTGTTCTTCAACTGCAACTCTCATGTTTCAAGAATGGTTGAAATCAAATGTCCAGGGAGAATTATGGAGGATGCCCTGGTCTTCTGTATAACACCTAATGGTAGACAGCTTAGGAGGACATCCTTCCTGAGGCTATAAATCCGGCAGTCTCTTCCGCCTGAAGAGCATTTGTGGTTTTAGTTTTTTGTGATCTTGGGGAGCTGACTGAGCTGGCTGTGCTTTGTTGATGCCGTATTATCAAGTGAGATGCCAGATAGAAATCATGTAACAAGTCCAGTAACTTTAGTTAGTGTGTAAAAGATGCAATGTTCATTAGAAAACAGAAAATTCTTCCAAATAGTTTTCTGTGAAGACTTCAAATATTTTTAGGAAAAGCACTAACGACTTGAGTCAAATAGGTGCTTTAATGTTTCACTTCAATATTCAAAACCTGTTGGTTTGGGACTATATGATGTATATAGCAGTGTGCCTGTACCTCTGTAAAATCAGGGAGCTTTCCATTCTTCTGATTCATCTTTTGAACTAACAAATGTCTAGTATTTTCCTAATGAAACTGGCTGTGGAATTTGTGTCTTTCTTGGGCCCCTTCTGTTTTCATACATATTTCCTTTAATGACTGAGCTGTGGGTGGCTTTACCCACTTGACTGCTTCTGACAGCCTTTTGCCTCAACAAAGGTGCAGGTGCATCCTGCTGCAAGGCAGCAGAGACCACATGTTCCTAAACTGCATGGTGCTCAGTATAAAAAAAATTCATCCATTTTGCTGTTTTATCAATAAGAGGTATATGAAAATTCCCTGTAGCTGTGCTACTGGGCCAAGGGAGAGTGAGGATATGGGATAGAATGTTTCACTTCAAATGCAAAGTACTAGTTATGAATATAATTGTCATATAACTGGTATATCTTACTATGGAGGAGAATGTGCAAGTGGATTATATCCAGTTGCATTGTGCAATCACCTCCTGCTCTCAGGTTTCTCTTCCTAATGCAATAGTAATGGGGTTTCCCAGCTGCTTTTGCAATGCATTCAGTAAGGACAGTCTCTGACCTTAAGAAGCTACCAGTATCCCCCTTTCTATTCTCAGCTGAGTAGGAATACAGAATTTGCTTTATGCCACAATGATGTATAAGCTCATCTGTACAGTTTTCTTTTTACATTCTGATTTACTACAGGATTTCTGGCTGATGTTGGTTAGATCAATTTTTACCACAGTCATTCTTCCTGATGTCTTCTGTGAGTGTAGCCCTTCCTAGCTGTGAGTAGGGTGAGAGCAGCAGAAATCTTAGGCTGCTGGCTTGGCTGGGTTGGTGAAGGGGTCTGTAGCCATAACTGGTAGTGCAAGAGGTGACTGGCTGTAAACTGCCACTTTATGCAGAGCTGTGTTTCTGCCTCATCCATCATATATAGCTGCAAAACACTCTGGTGGTGTTAGGAGATGCTTCTATAAATCTGTATTTAAATTGGTAGCATTGAAATTTCAGTAAGTAGATTTATCTTGTTTAGGAGATCTCTTCCCGTGTTCTCTCTGAGTATGTACTTCACTTTTCTAAATAAAATGTATCCTAATATTCTGGTTACTTTGGAATGATCATGTTGCTGCTCTGTTCTTAGAGAGGAAATGCTGGAGAAGAGCCTCCCACTAGTGTCACAGCTGCTACCTGCTGTATCTTCCTGCATTAAAATGGTTTTGTTACTGGGAACTTCAGGAGAATGAGATGTGCTCCTTTGGTTGGTATTTTGGGGGCGCAGCTTGGTTGCTCTTTGCCCTATGTCATAATAATAAGTCTATTTGGGGTTTTTGTTATGTGTGGTAGATTCTTTTGTTTGTTTTACCTAATGTATTTTTGGTTACTACCTGTCAGCTTCATTTACTCTCTGGGGAAACTGTGGATGCAGAGGGAGGGTCACAGGGAGCAAACCCAACACTGACTACTGATTTGTCAACAAAAGCACCAAACATCCATCTTCATCTTGCAGTTGTCTGGAACAAGGATTAAATTGCAGATCATCCTAAGGCAGCAGGGAGCCTTTAGTAAGTGGGTATCAATTTGTTTACTTACCAGACCGAAACCACTTTGACTGTTCTTATACATTCTCTCTGCAGATGTTCTTTTCTTAGTACATTGTAACAGGGATGGTACTCAGTTAGAACTTTGTGCTTCTCCAGCCCCTTGCCGTTAAGTTAGGAATTATTTTTGTCACTGTGTCTGATGCATTTGTTATTGATAGTATTTTCTGGTTAGATTTTCTCTGCTGCCTAAGTGATATGTCCTATATTCCTGAATCCTGGATCTCTTATGATTGCTCATTTCATTTACGCCTTATTTTATTTTTGTTTATATGAAATGTGGAAAATGCTTGCAAATGTCATATAGTGGCTTCTTTGTGCATGTCATCTCTCTTAGTTTTAAAGTTTGTGGAGTACACAGAAGATTGTGCAACAGGCATTGTTTACTGGCCTAGAATTGTAAGACTAAAAACTGTGTTCTTGCTGCAGCCATAAAATAACATGGCAAACATCACCATTCCAGAGCAGTTACAGTCACGTGCTTCCAGCAGTTGATGTTTTCTGGCAATGGTGTGTTTGCTCAGTTCTGCCCTAAGGCAGGTGACATGTATTTGGTGTGGGGGATTGGGGGTTTGCACTTTTGACATGTGAATGAGGGTGAGGAAGACAAAAAGTGAAATGGAACCATTTGTTTGTCACTTCAGTCAAGTACCAGATACTTCAGATTCACTGGTAGTTTTGATGTGATCAGGGCCTCTCTTCCTCTGCAGAATTCACTTCAAGGTGTTTATGATGCCCATATGCTTGTAAAGTTCATGCACAATCCCTTGGATGATGATTGGAACTCGTTAAAGTGCAGGAGTAGCAAATCAGCCTCATGGATTTTTACCTCTCTTCCAGGACTCATAGTTGGGGTGATCCTGAGATATGGCACTCCCTCCACGAGTGGCCATGACAAACCATTCAGCTGCTCTCAGGAGGACAGGCCCTTCACCACCCTGCTGGTCAACGTCAGCGGCAAGTTCTTCGAGTACACGCTCAAAGGGGAAATAAGCCCTGGCAAGATCCACAACGTGGAGCAAAATGACATGTTGAGAAAGGTGAGCCTACACCATTTCACACGCTAAGTGTTTCTCCTTCATCTGTGCTTCCCTCCCTCCTCCCCCTCCATCCTGTTTGAACCTCAGGCAGTGCCAAGTGTCAGGATTCCTGATAGTAACAGCACTTTAATGCTTAATTCAAATGCACCTTCTGTATTATATCACTGCTGGAGAAACTGTGCTCTGTTACATGTATGTGGTGCTTTCCTAAAGGCCTTGGTTTGAAAACTTAATGTATGTTTCTAACATCTGTAGAATTTACAGAGATCAGCTGAACAGAAAAAAAACCCCAACCTTGTGCTGCCTTGTATAAATGCAAAGTAAGGAAAATTATAATTTCATAGTGAAAAGTGATTGTTCCTTGTTGTTTTGGTCTTTTTTTACCTAGGGTTTTAAAATTTGTGCATTGCCAGGAAATAGTTCTGCTTCAGCTTCCACCCAATAAACCGCCAAATGAGGCAGTCTGGTGGTGGAAGTAAAATTCACCTATCAGCAGTTATTCAGATGTGTTATTTGCCTTTTTATTCAGTGTCGGGAATGAACCACCTCTTGTGTGTATCAAAGCTAGACTTTGAAGCATAGGATTGTGATCTAAAAGTACTTCTTTCTGCAGATTATGAAGAGAGCTCAGCTGCCTATGTGTGTCTGGCTGCTGTAGGTATCTCAGGTTAGCTGAAATGAGTCCTGCTCTGGGAAGGCACAGTCGTACTGTTTGTCTTCTAACCTGTGCTTAGGCAGGGGTGAAGAGAGCCTAGTTAGTCTCATATGTGTGAAGGCCTTCTGTTTGCATTTTAACTGTTGTTTGTTGTTCTGTAGTGTAGTGTAGTCCTTCATGGATATGTGGAACTCCTACTGAAATACATGGAAGAGGTGTATGATCCAAATTTCTGAAAACCAGTCTTGTATCTGACTTGATTGGCTTATAGTAATTATTCAGTGGCTAAATTTGTACAAAAAAGAAGGCTAAAATAGCATTTCATCTGCAGCCATGCCAATATCAGGTATCACAATTGGAAATATCTTCTCCAACATAATTTCTGCTAGAAATTTTTAATTTAAAATGGGGGACTGTGTTTGGGACTGCTGCCAGATCACGAGCAACCAATGTAATGCCTGTTCTTTCTAGATACTATTTACCAATAGGAGCTGCAGCTATATACAAGTAGACCTGGCCAGTGTTTTAGAGGCTCAGCTTATCTATTTCATCAACCAAAAATAGTGGTTGTCAGAAAATGAATGAGGAAAAGTTCTAACAATTTGTGTATGTCTGTTTATAATTGAAATTTCATATTTTATTTTTTTAGGTAACATTTGACCCAGAAGTTTTCTTCAACATTCTATTGCCTCCTATAATTTTTCATGCTGGTTATAGCCTGAAAAAAGTAAGTGCAATAACTTCTGAGGAGAATAGATCCTTTTTTTTTTTTAATGAGAAATTGCTGATTTGTTCAGGATTGTAGTCTCCTTTCAAGCATTTACTTACAGTAAGAAAAATTGCATTTCCTCCAGAGATGGTTAGGTCATATTGTTTTAAGAGAAAATACATATATTTTTGAGTACAAATGTATTAAACCCTACTTAATTTTGCTGATTTGTTTTCCTTTGAACTTAGCCAGACATTGATGTCAGTTTCATTTAAAGTAAATGATGTTCTGTTATGAATTGTTTTGGTCCTTCTCAAATATCCAAAATGCAGTAAATTATGCTGAGAGGCAGACCTAGCCCTGAATCCCAGTGGAGATGTGCCAGACCCCTAATGGCAGAAGAGCCCAGATTCTGATCTTGCTTGAAGACACCCTGGATTGGTGCTGGTTTCTGTCAAAGCCTTCTGTAAAACTACATGTAGGGTCTAATGCATGGCACAGATCTGGTTTATTCAATTTACTGAAGTTAGATTGAATTTACATAGCAGTAATTGAAATGTTTCTCTGAAATAGATGTGTGCTTCTGTGTATTGATGCAAGTGAAGTAGTGTGCTACATGGTTCTGAATGGGCAATATAACTTTTCTGAAGTAAGTATATAAACCTCTTTTTCTTGTGCAGAGACACTTTTTCAGGAATTTGGGGTCCATTTTGGCTTATGCCTTTTTAGGAACAGCAGTGTCTTGTTTTATTATTGGGTAAGTGAACTCTGATATCAGTTCCTCTCTACACTAAAGCTTAAGCTGATAAACACTCTCTCTCTTTGCCTCCATACAGATATTTTATGTATGTATATACACACACTTTTAGTTTAAGATATCTGGTCACGTTGATTTGCTTGCCTACAATCTCTTATCCTGCTCATATTAATGTGTTTTGTGTATGGATATTCTGAATAACAGAAATCCTGAATTGGATTGGTGATCTTGGCTTGTCTCTCAAAGAATTGCTCTAGAGAAGTAATCTCTTATTATAGATCATTCTTACCTCAGAGCTTTTGGCCTATGTATTGTGTTGGGAGAAAGAATACTGAGGGGAATTTTGAGCAGAGAAAACTTGGTGGGAAATGGAAGAAAGATGTAGACTCTGTGCTAATTGTGTGAAGATTTCAGACTTATTGGTTTTATGGGATGTCTTCTGGATCATATATTGCTTGATTTGCTTCATAGCGAAAAGAGGAAAGTTCACTTTGAGAGCTTTCTGCTACACTGTGGCAGTGTTCCACTGAGCTGTAGCATCCAGAAGCCTGTCTGAAATACTGTTGCTTGTGCTTTCCCTTGGTCTGTCTGAAATTGTTTGACTTGGAATGCTTTATCTTCTTTCTCTTCAGGAATCTCATGTATGGGGTTGTGAAACTAATGAAGTTGGTGGGCCAGCTGTCTGATAAGTTCTATTATACAGACTGCCTCCTCTTTGGAGCGATAATATCTGCCACTGATCCAGGTAGCTTGATGAACATTTTTAATAACCTTCCAAAATAACCTTATTGTTAGGATTTTCAGCTGCATATTAACAGGACTCTATTTTCAGTTATCTCATATTAGTATCTCTGAACCTCTTCTCTGAAATACATACAAATTCTGAGTATTTTGAAAGCTGTTCTCTGCTGATTTATGACTGAACTGGCAAGACATCATGGTATATTTGGAGAAAAATCTAACTCTCCTGTTCAAATACTTAAATATTTTTTGTTAAGTGTCTTCTTTTTAAGTGTGCATCAAGTTTAGGATAGTAAATAGATGAAATTGTTGCTTTTTCTGGATAGCAGGACTTCCTTCTTCAGCTACATTGCTTGGGGCTGGGCACTTTAAGAGCAATATTTGAAACTTTTAGCTTCTGTAGGAGGGGGATTTTCTATTCCTCTTTCAAATAAACTCCATGTTTTATAAGTTAAGGCAGAAGAATGCTTTTCTGGCCAAGTAATTTCAGCTTTTGCCCAAGTAATGTTGACATCCTTATGTAGAGAGTCAAGCAGGCTCACATTGGAAGTCTCCATTTGACAGATCTGTTTGTAGGGTTGGCAAAGGCCAGGGACCAGGGTGGGGAGTGCTGAAGTATGCAGCTTGACATTTAGAGCAGTTTATTTGAGGTGCTTAGTGGTGATTAGTGTGAAAATGGGAAGTAGCTCCTGTGATTGAGCTGAGCTCTGAACAGCTGGTGGTTGCATACAATTTATGCAAAAAATCACTTTGTGATTTTTGAAGTGCGTATATGGGAACATCTTCAAGATCATGGTCTTTCATCTCAGAATTTTCTTGAAAGAATGATTATAAATATTTAGCACTCTTGTCCTTTTTAAATTATGTGGAAATTCACACCTGTGGCATAATGGATATTTAGGGGAACACCTAGGGTTATTTGTAGTATTTTACAATGGCTGAAATAATAAACCTGAGTCAACAATCCATACAGCTTTTAAAAGCAGAAAGAGCTACACAACTGTTTTATATGGAACATGTTCCAAAATAATATCAGGGCTTTTGTAGAAGGGCTTTGTCTGCCCCATGCCCCTTGATCATGGGGGCCTTACTATGAACACCGTGCAGATGGGAGGACAAAAGAGCCACCTCTTAGTGGAGCTGCCCTAAAACTGGTGGAGGAATTGCTTACTTGTAGGCAAACTTGACTATGGTTTCCCATTTCAGTTTTGATCCTGTACTTCAGTTCCTGGGTTTTCTTGCTTTAGCCAAACTGGAAAGTCTGCTCCACAGCTCGTGCAGTCATTGCAGTGTTGTTTTCCTCTTTTCTTTCTGTAGTTACCGTGCTAGCAATATTTAATGAGCTGCATGCTGATGTCGATCTCTATGCCCTTCTGTTCGGAGAGAGTGTGCTGAATGATGCTGTTGCCATTGTATTATCCTCGTAAGTAACTATGGGAATTTCTACTCTGAAATTACTAAATTGCTTTTGGCATTTGTCTAAAATAAATGCTTTTTCTGAGAAACATTATATTAAGTTTAAATGGATTGCCCTTAGCTGGATTGTTAACCATTGCAAACATTTTCCAAGGCCTCTAATGCATGCATAGGCCAGAATGATGCATACACCTTCAGCCTGGGATTGTCTCCCTCTAGCTCAGGTAGTGTTGTTACAGAAAGAATCTTTCCTGATGCCACTTCTAACTTGTCATTGTGTTCTCTCTTTCTAGATCTATAGTTGCCTACCAGCCAACAGGTGAAAATACCCATGCTTTTGATGCTGCTGCATTTTTCAAGTCTGTTGGTGTTTTTCTGGGAATATTCAGTGGTTCTTTCATGATGGGAGCAGTGACAGGGGTTGTGACAGCTCTGATATCCTTTTTCATATTTGGTATTCCAGCTGAGATGGCACATATGGGTACTATCAGGGCTTTCCTTCCTGTTTCCCGTTATAGCAGAATTGACTCTAGCTTGTTTAATTCTGAGTGTGAAGATGTGGTCAGTATGCATTTGACTTCTTTTCTATAGGAGGACATTTCAGGTACCCACAGAACCCTTTCCATTAAAACCGAGACCATAGTAGAGTTTTAGTGATGTTGCTGCAGCAAACTGAGGCATGTCCTAATAATGTTTAGTTTGTTTTTACGGAGTTATAAAACCTAGTTTCTTTATTAGTCTTGAAAGACATCTCCTATGCTAAATGGTATTTGATTCTGTCTTCAGCAAAATCTCTCAGCTATTTCTGACCCCCACAGCATTCTTTGATTCCTGCATTTAAACTTTTTTGCCAGAAATCTGATGTCATACATCTTGGATAAGATTTTATCTCTGTTAGAGTTTAACATGATGTGCCTTGCATCATCTATTCTGTTCTCTTGATGCTTGTTGCTGTTATTTGGTTAGATCTCTGAGGTGCTTAGCAAGGAATTTGTGTGGGTCTTGTTTTAGGCTCAGGCAGTAGACCTTCTCCAGCCACGACCTACTCCAGGAGTCATGATTCTTCTTCAGGAACAAGCTGAAGTCTTTGCTTTCTGACAGGCTAGTATAGCCATATGTGCACATATCCCAGGCTGCTGTGATGTGCCTAGGCTTCTGAACACTGACCTGAAAGGGATAAAATGTGATGTTCTGTACAATGATCATGACCCTGTGACTCTGAAGCAGTACTGTCTGAACTGTACAGATTTTCTTGACCTGTCTTCATGATGCTTATTCAGGAACAAGCTGAAGTCTTTGTTTTCTGACAGGCTAGTATACATCCTGCTAGGATGTGCACATATCCCAGGCTGCTGTGATGTGCCTAGGCTTCTGAACACTGACCTGAAAGGGATAAAATGTGATGTTCTGTACAATGATCATGACCCTGTGACTCTGAAGCAGTACTGTCTGAACTGTACAGATTTTCTTGACCTGTCTGTGTAATGGAAACCCTTTAAGTATAATGGGGAAGATACGCTGTCGGTGCTTTAATGTTCAGTCTCAGTTCCACTGATCTGCAATCTGTGTGACCCAGAACCATGATTCCTCCTCTGACTTTTAGGCTACCAGCCATCCTTAGCTCTCGCTGCTCAAATGCAGTTATTGTGGGTTTTGGCTGCAATGCATTCAGATCCACTTTGTAAAATTATGCTTCTGAAGCAGCAACCATCCTTGCTTTTTCTAATGGCTGTGCTCTGGAAGGTAATGTGAGGCTGTTCAGAACAAAGCCTCTGTGGTGGCATTTTGTCTGTGTGGTGGGGATATTTTTCTTTTTGTTCTGTTTTGGTTTTGTGTTGTTCTTTTTCTTCGGTTGGTTAATTATATGACTATTTTCTTTTGGAAACATCCTTAATGTCATGCAATGATTTAGAAGCAAACAAAATTTGCATTTTGCTATTCATAGCTCATTAGAACTCATAAATTAAGGATTAAGTTAATATTCCATGAAGTGCCCATACCTGTACCTCTTTGAGTAAGGGGTTTCATGCAGTCATGCACTGTCCTTTGAGAATAGATAGAAAGCTCAGTTTCCAAATTATGCAGATAATATACAAGGACTTATTCTGGCTTTCAGCAAGCTGTCTGTGTTTTTAAAAAAATAGTTAAATTATAGTACCACATTGTATATTTTTACTAAATTGCAGCATCTGACTGGTTGAAAAGATGTGAAATACAAATATATGGCCTACAAATAAAGAAAATAATTAAGTAAAAACAGAATAATTTACTTTCAGCTAACATTTCAATTTGATCAATTATATGAAATAATAAAATGTGTTTGTTTTCTTACCTTTCTGTCACCTTGAGCTTCCTCCAAAATGATGAGCACAAGTTTTCAGTTCAGATTTAATGAAACATTTTTGGTGTGGTTACTGACAATAACAGCAAAGGGAATAAACAGTTTGAGTCACAAAACTGCCAGAAAAAACTGGAAATAAAGAACTGGTTCTGACAAAGCCCCTTGCCTAACTTCGGGGGAAAAAGGTTTAACCTCTTCCATGGAGTGACTGTGGCTATCCAGTTTCCATAGGCAGCCATCAATGTCCCTTGAGCCAGGCACTGGGATTATCTGAGTACTCTGTGGGGAAATGGGTTCCAGTTTTTGTTATGGTGGATGTTGCTGCTTCAGAAACATGACCTTAGAAAATAGATCTGTTTGGAGGAAGTGGTGGGGAGGAATTCAGCTGAGCTCAGAAGTTTTAGAGGTGCTTTCTGTGCAGAACTAACAGCTGTTTAAAAAGAATGTTGCATTTTATATTTGGTATAATGCCAACATGGAGATAATTTTTTTTAATGATGCTCTGGGCTTTGTTTTGAGAGCAACCTTCTGACAAAGTAAGGTCACGGCTGAAAGTGTGTCTGGAGTATATGTTTGCCAAGTTATCGGAGAATGTCAGCAAGAAGTAGCAGTGAGTGGAGAGATGGTACTGATTGCCTTCATGTGAACTGTGCATAGCTGTCTCACCTCAGATACAGAGTGCTGTTCAGCAAGTACCTGCTGCCAGAGTAGTGCTCAGGTAAAAAACAGCATGAAAAGGATTCTATAAATAGGTGAACAACTTTTTTTGTAGTGTGTGAAGAGCTAAATTTAACACTACTGAAATCTGTTCTGCTCCTTCAGTAGCTGTATGAATTGTTAATTCAGTGTGTGCTTTGATGTTCCTCAGGTTTTGCTCTCCTCTGCAAGATGAATTTGTTTTTTCTTTCCTTTGAAAGACTGAGGCGCTCGGAGTTGGCTTTTTCTCTAAAACACATCAGCACAAGGAGAGGAAATACATTTTGTAGGCAGCAATTGTTTTGCCTGAAAAGTACTGAAGTAGCCATGCTTGCTGGAAAAGACTTATTAACAAACCTGAAAACAAAAATTCTTGTTTATCTTAGGGTTGCTGTAGTCAAGAGCAGCTGTGTAAATTAAATGATTTTGAATGGGTTTTATGCTTTATTTGAAGGTGGGAGTGGGACTCGTAATTGAGGTTGGCAGGGTGAACAAAACATAACTCCCCCACCAATCCCCTGAAAAGCCAAGGCACACACAGTCTAAAAAGAACAGCAGGTAAATATCCCTTCCTTGCTAGCACTTCAAAGGGAACACAGAATAAGATAATATTACTTCTAAGAGGCGGAGCCACACTTTGTTATGGACATACAACAAAAATAACCAAAACTGATTGTTGCAATTTGAGTCTGAATTTTGCCTTCATGTGTTGGAATTTACGTTTTTCAGCATCAAAAGTGTTTTGTTTTCCAACAAGCATGGGCTGTTAGTACATAAAAGTGTTTTTCAGAAGTACTGAGAACAGAGAAGACAAAGGATTTCCTTTTGATCCCTTAACAAGTGACTTAACGTGACAAAGTTTACCAAGTTGCACTGCTTCCCCCTGCTGGAAACGGCTCTCTTCTTCTTGATGTCCTGGAGCACTTTCTTGCTTGCAGAAGCATGTGGATTTACTGGTGAGTTGCTTGAATTCAAGCACAGAAGTCCACCTCAGCAGCCATTTTTCCACTTTCTCACTAAATCTTTTCAATGAGAAATATGATTGTGCCTAAAGTTGGGTTGTTGGGGTTTTTTGCCTTCTGTTTAATGTTGAAGCTGCAGCTCACTGTGTAACAAAGGCAATGGTTTGGTTCAGACATCATCTCCCTAATCTGGTATCTCACTCACTTGAGTGGAAGAGTCAAAAAATATCAAGGTTAAGAATGATGTATAAATTAAATGGAGCTGGTGAAGGGAAATTGTGGTGAGCTGGCAGTAAACAGACTGATTTTTACATGTGGTTCTGTTCACAGGTGTGGTGGCTGTCCTCTTCTGTGGAATTACCCAGGCACATTATACGTACAATAACTTGTCAGTTGAATCAAGAAGTCGCACTAAGCAGGCAAGGATGTCTTTTGCCTTTTTTACAGTGCATTGCTGTAGTAGTCCATGTACTTTTGTTTAGTAGTCCATGTACTTTTATTTTTACAGCATCTTTTTAACTTGTCCTTTAACATGTGATGGTTTTCTCTCTAGCTCTTTGAGGTATTGCACTTCCTGGCTGAGAACTTCATATTTTCTTATATGGGCTTGGCACTGTTTACTTTCCAGAAGCACATATTCAGCCCAGTTTTCATTATTGGAGCTTTTGTATCCTTTTTCACATTGTGTGAGGTTTCTCTATTTTCTTATGAGCCCAAAAACTTGTGATGTCTGTTGGCTTTGCCAAACAGAGAATGGTGGCTGGCCTAAGTTTTCCTAATATCTTGCAGGCACAATAATTTTGAGAAAAATCTTGGTTACATCTTACATCTAAGCCCTAAGGCCTCTGTGCCACATAGTTGTTGGCTCTGTACCTGAATCTTAGAAGCCATATAATTTTACTAGATAAATAAAATTTACTGCATGCTTTGGCTAGCTGCTTGTGTTGTTCTTGTATTTGAACTTTGGAGACCTACAAAAGGATTAATTCTTCTCTCCACTTCCAGTGGCCCCTTGAGAAAGTAAGGGGCAAAATCAATCTATTCACCCACATTCCTTTTTATGTATTTATCTCTGAGCAATTCCCCAGAGGTCAGCATCTCAGGTGATGGGAGGAGAAGGGAGCAGAACTGGGGTACAGACCATTACATGAAGGGTACACGATTAAAGGTTCTGCCATTGTCTCTGGTTGACATGGTACCTGACTCTCAAATTCTCCAGAACAGAACACTTTGTGGCAGTCACAGTCATGTAAGCTCTGCATCCTGCCCCATTGAGATGAATTGTCTAACTCTCTCCTCACTATATTCCTGGTTGCTTGAATATTCAGCAGAATTATAAGTGTGCACGAAGAAATGGGAACTAGTTTCCCAGTCTTCATTTCCCTCTGCCTGCTGTAGGAGTAGGGCTGTTGGCCATGGAGGTAAACCCTGTAAAAGGACACATAAAGATGGCCATGTATGAGATGTACTTATTTTTTCTTCTTTCTATTGTTTTCTGTTCTACTTCTCAGGATTTACCACATTTGGTTTTATTTTCCTTTGGCCATTCACTTTTTTTCTGGAACAGTAATAAATTTTCTCCTGTGTCACTCATGTCCACTTTTCTGACCTAATAAATGTTCTAGAGCCCGGCAGACGTTGGATAAAGATATGAACAGAATAGTTGCACTTGGTATACTAAACAATGCAATTTTTTAATGCTTAGAGTGGCCTGCCATCTTTTCTCAATTTGTGCTGTCTGCCCTGGGTTTGTTTTCAGTAGTTGTTTCTCTACCTACTTGGCTTTTAATACATTTTCCACATCTTTTTCTACCACTAAAGCTTTGTTGCCTGTTGAGTACTTTTCTACCTTTGTGAGGAGGGCAACTAGTACTAGCACCTGTGTTTTACTCAACACCTGTGGTCCCCACTGAGTTTACAACTTGAAGAGGTGAAATGTAGAGACATCACCAGTTGTTGAAAGTGAAAGGCTGGAACGTAAAGACAGAGCTAGAGCCTCAGCATCCTTGGCAAAATCTTAGCTATTATCCTACATACATTAATCTTGATGGCTTCTGATGTCTGATTTCTGTAGTTCTCAAAAGGACTGGTGGAAAATTTGCTTGGATTGTGAGAGTTATTGTACAAAGTAATAATCAAAATCTGATTTTCCTAGAGATATTCCCTGCTGATAGTATTGCTTTACTTTAGCTGTGGCTAAAGTAAAGTGGTGTCCGGCCAGTGGTGTCCAGAGCTCTTATACTCTCTTTCTTTTCCATGGGAGAAGCATTATTCTTCTAATGTTCCCATGCCAGCAGGAAACGATCAGTGTTTGTTTGGCTTCTGGCCGTGTTGGCATTTTACAGGATTTCAGTCCACCACTCTAATTTTTCCCAAAGTACTCCTTATACAGTGGAGAGTGTTTTCAGCTTTCTGCTTCTTCACTGGAACCACTGGATGTTTTGCACCACAGTGGGGGTTCTTACCACTTACTGTCATGAATTTCTGCAGTCCTTTACCTATTCTTTTTCAACTTTATTCTAGTGCTGACAAATGGCTTTTGGATTTATATTCTTAGTAACTCTGTACTGGTGTTTGCTAGCCATTAGGATATTTTGCCTCTGCAGGAGTCATAATGGGGTGGCCACTTGCTGGTCCTAAGTTGGTTTCCCCTCTGTACACAGGGCTGCATTTCTGTTGTTCCAAAACTCAGAATTGAATGGTGCTGGTCGTAATTGTTTAAAGTGTGAATTTTCAAAGTAAAGCCTTAATTTGTACAATTGATAAGTTTAACACTAGATATAATTTCGCTGTGCATCTAAAAATTTAGTTATATTAGTAAAAACTTCCATTCTGTGCAATTGCTTTTGAATGGAAGTTGCATAAAATTGGGGAAAGTCTGCTTTAGATACACAGCTATAGAAAGAAGATATCATGATGTAAATCTCTCACTAAAACAAAAGCTTCATGTAGGATACCAAAAACTGCATACCTCAGGAAGAAGAAATCCTTAACTCTCAGCTGCAAACAGGTTGCAATCTTTTTGGGCAGAGCTGCACATATCTACCCCCTCTCCTTCTTGTTGAATTTGGGCAGAAGGCATAAGATCAGCTGGAGCTTTCAGCACATGATGATGTTTTCAGGTAAGAGCAAAAATTCTGGGCAATGAAAAAAATCTTAATTTTAACTCATAAGCAATTGACTCTACTACCTTCTGTTTTTGTGATCCACATTGATGCATCCTAAAGGGAAGGCTTAATACTGCTTATTGCAGCATGCCATCATGTGTCTTTCAGCCTTTACAGCAAGTGTGCCGTGTCTGGGGTGGGTGACATCTCAAAATGCTGCCTGCTCACAGCAGGCAGCACCTCATGCTGGGAATAGAGCATTTTCATTTGAAGTGCTTGTGAAGGACATGGGAGAATTGGGCTGTATCTCTTCCAAAAGGTTATTTCTAGCTGAGAGGATGTTCACATTGTGCAGAAACAGACACCTGCTGAGAAAATTGAGGTGTATTTATGGGTACCCTTTCCCATTTAGTTGGCCAAAGGTATTTGACTTAAATTGCCTTGTAATTTCTATCACATAGACAACTGTTTTAGCTTGTAATTTGAGGCAAATTATGTATTGTGTGTCTAAACATGTGCATCCAAAAGAAGTTCCAGGGAATCCTCTGTACCAAAGAGGATAGAGCCAGGCTGTTTTCAGTGGTGCCCTGTGCCAGGTCCAGAGGTAATGGGCACAAACTGGAACACACGAAGTTTTGTTTGAACATCAGGAAACCTTTTTTACTATGTCCAGACATTGTACAAATTGTCCAGAGTGGTTGTAGCATCTCCATCCATGGAGATATTCAAAAGCCATCTGGACATGGTCCTGTGCAACCTCCTGCAGGTTGAGCAGGGGTTATTCGAAGAGGGGAATTGGACCAGATGAATTTCAGGGGTTCCTTAAAACCTTAACCATCCTGTGATTCCTCTACATAAGAAGTCTGCAGGTGGTCAAATGCCATGGCTTGCTCTTGCTACTGAAGTTTCATAACTGGGAGCAGAGGAGAGGAGGAAAGATGCAGTCTGCCTGTGACCATGTAATTAACTAGAATATTTTTATAGCTGATAAAAATGTCAGATCAAGAACTCACATTTCAATTATGGATTCAACTGGAAAAGTTTGAATTTTCACCTGGATTCAGGGAGCTGCTTGACACATAATGTTTTGCTGCTGTTCACAACTTGTTTGTTTCTGTTTTCCTTTCCTGTTAGTTTCTGGAAGTATTTACACCTTTTCACAGCACTTGTGGATTCTATAAGTTATAGGAAACCAGGAGAGTTATGACATTCTGTTATAAATTATTCCAGGGCACAATTTATCAGGGAATCTAAGGAAATTAAAAGCTGCTGTAGCCCAGTGCTTTCTGCCTGACACTTTGTGGGAGGGAGCGAGGAAAGGTGCTGTGCTATCCACAGTCACGTCTGCACCTCTGAAGCTGTGCCATTTCATTCTTTCTGCTAGGTCTCAGGGGAGCCATGGCATTTGCTCTGGCTATACGAGATACTGCTACCTACTCCCACCAAATGATGTTCTCAACAACTCTGCTCATCGTGTTTTTCACTGTGTGGATTGTTGGTGGAGGTACAACCCCCATGCTGTCGTGGCTGAACATCAGGTTGGTATGCAGCTGTGTGCTGGGGGAAACTTCAGTTTTCAACAGGCAGCTGTGCTAATTTAGCATAGTTCTACAGAACCTGTTTGATGCTTGCTAGAAGAATTTAGAACATGGTATTTATACAGATATATATATACATGTAGATATTTAGAACATTATATTTTATGGAGGAAGATGCTAGTGCAGTCTGGTGAAGAAAATGTTCTGATGCTGCTGGGATTCAGCCTAAAGGTGCTCTGATGCTCTGCAAGTAGGTATCTAGTCTTTGTTACTCCAGCAGGATATGGAATAGTGTTGCCTGATAAAGCAGCTCTATATTGAAAAGAAAGAATTAATCTAGTCCCATATAAACTTTGTATTATACTAAGACTGTTCCCTTTCTTTTGACTCTTCGTAATGGGCCTGTTCAGGTTTTTAAGTTCAGTGGATTCTTTATTAGGTGGTGCTAAGGTAAATGTACTTTAAACAAAACCTGATGTTATCTAAGCAACTTGGATAAATGGGATCCTGCTGGTTTTTGGGGTGTGTTTCATCCTGTTTTGAGGAGATCTATGAAAATGGTAAGTTGCATGATTATAGATGTCTGACTATAAATCCTGGCTAATACTTAGTACTTTTGACTACATGTATTTTCATATTTGAGAATATTTATCAAGAGATGTGCTAGAGAATCACAAATCAATCATTATTAAAGACATATATATCATAGTTTTGGAAGTTTTGGCAGTTTGGGAGACAAAGATAAATAGAGGAGAATTAAAACAGTACAAGATGTACAAGCCCTGAGTGCAATCAACCATTACCTCTGCCACAGGGCTCTTTCAGTCATCAGCAGTACGACAGGACTGAATTCTTGCATGTGGCCCAACCCTTGGCCAACTGCAAAATTGTTCTGAGGTAGCAGCTTTTTTTCTTCCCACCCTCCTCCATCAAAACCAGGAAGCATCCCAGATTATGCGTTTCCTCCTTTAGCTAATCTAGTTCAGTAGTGAGACTCCATAGGCCTGGCTGATGAGCTGGCTCTGCAGGCAGAGTGGACTAACCCCATATCCATTCCAGGCTCATCCCTCTAGGTGGCTAGACTTGCAAAAGTCATTAGTGTGACCAATAAGGCAGAACAGCTGTAAAGAGATTACAGAGAGAGGTAACTACCAAAAGGGAGCTGACTGAAGCATAGTTTTGAGTGTTTGGCTGTAGTTTTAGGGGGAAGATTAACCCATCCTTGTGAGTAAGTAATTTTAATTGTCACTTTTTTGGCATGGTTGACAGAAAATAAAGAGTTAACTTTCCTGTCAAAGTAAGGATAACATATATAACAAGGGAGGAAGCATTTTTGAGATGGGTCTGCCTGCAGCTGGCTCGATAGGCACTGACCTGCCAGAGACGGTATAACAAGGGAGGAAGCATTTTTGAGAACTGCATGGGTCTGCCTGCAGCTGGCTCGATAGGCACTGACCTGCCAGAGACGGAGTCTGCACCTTCTGGGACCACAAGAGATCAGATTTGTGCCAGGAGGTGGCAGCCGTGTGCAGCTGATCGAGAGTTAGAAACTCGGTGCTGGTGAGGTGCCCTCAGTGGTTGGAACACTTTCTGCTGGGGGGGAAAAAAAAAAAAAAAAAAAAAAAAGAGAAAAAAAAAGTAGTTCTGTTTTTCCCAATTTTTTTTTAAGAAAAAAGAGTGACAACTTATTTTCCAGCTGAATTTTTAAATTATGCCAGTTATCTCTTTTCCATCCCCTTCTACTCAGTGGAAGCAGTACACAGGAGGAGATGTAGCTGTTCCAGCGCTGTCCCAGTGCCTCACTCAGCAGCAGGGTATATAGTGCTGATGCAGTCCCGAGGCTGTGCAGTAGGTGACTTGTCCCTAGGATGCTTGCTGAGCCTCGGAACTTGCCCATTAAATTTGATTGCCAGAGGCTGGAAATAAGTAGTGGTCACATGCAGGATTATTTACTAGAAAAGTGGTTATAAGATAAAAGGTGGTTTGCTTCCAAGATGAAGTGAAGAGATATAGAATTAATGCCACGTGTATGTTGGACTTAAATGTTAGGATTTGTGGGGACTCCTAAGAGTCCAGTTCTGATGTGAAGGTCATACCAGTTGTACCAAGAAGGAAAGCAGGCAGGCTACTCAGCCATTACCAAGTCCTCATGAAGCAGCTGGCCTTTCTTCAGTGTGGATGTCAATAGAAGGCCCATGTCTGGGCAAGTCAGAGGAGCCAAGACAGATGTGAAAAACCAAAGGAGCTTATTTATGATTTAAGTAGAACTGTACCAGGGAGCTGACTCCAGCCAGGAGTGTCAGCCTGGCCTGATACCCCTGAGCTCAAGGGGAAGCAGCTGTGTGCATGCACTGGGAAATGCCCACACAGGGATCCAGAATTGCCTTGCTGTGGCTTGGAGGAAGAGGCACACGCCTTCTGGCCACACCATTATTTGTGTAGCATTTGGGATGCGTGCTTGGTTCTTTACTTACTGTTGGTCCCTTCCCTCCCATGACACAAAATATTAAAAGGAGGCAAAGGGTAGAGAGGCTAACATGAAAATGAAGTTTTGGTAAAGTAAAAAGCAGTATAAGGAGGAAAATAGGCCAAAACTACTCTCTGCCTCCTCTTGTCATTCTGAAAAGTTCAGATATTCTGATGAGCAGGTGTCTTTTCAGGTAGGGTAGGTTACCAGGGACCACTGACCAGGCTTTCATATACAGCTAAGCAAAGGACCTATGGTTTGTAGCAGAGGCTTAACTTCAGTTTACGGCTTAACTGGTTGGAAAAGCGAGGTCACAACTTCAAAATCTGAGTAAAAAACCCAGGATCTTTAGATGCTTTTGATTTCTGCCACTTGATGCTGAGGAAATTAAAAACCAACACCAGAAACTGGAGTTAAAGCCATGATATCATATGTTGGAGTTCCTTGGCTGACTATCAGTGAGACATGTTCAACATCTGAGTGGTAAACAGTTACATTTTCTTAGTAGTAGATTTTTTTTTCTTAGAAACTAAAGCATGACCTGAATATTAAAAATATAGTCTCATCCTTTAAGACCTAAACAAAGAAACAATTTCCTGGTTGAAGCTTTAACAGTTTCAGCAAACTTGAGAGCTATGTAAATCAAAACCACTGGCAAAATTCCTCTTTTCAAAAAAGTAGCTGACTTCTTGTTTCACTTATCTGTCACAGGAAAAAAGGGAACTCCTAGCATTTGTATTTCAAAACAATGTGTTTTCCATTTTTGATTAGAGGTTAGTGACCTGGTTCTTTTCATGTTCAATGAAGCAACACATGGATTAGAGCCTTCCTCTCCTTTATAACCTGCTGCAAATGTGGAAGTTATTGCTTATTTTAATGAAGTCATTTCAGTTATACTTAGAAACCTTTTTATAAATCTCAAAACATTATACCTTACACTTTAAAATAATTTAGGTTTCTTTTTACCATAAAAGCTAAAGGTTGTACAGACAACTTCAATCTAGATATTTAGTGCCTTATGCCTGACTTTGCATATACAATCTTTAAAGAGTTTCCTATTCAGTGATTTTTCTTTTCCTGTAAAAGAGCAAACTGAAAAAGAAATGTGGAAACATTAACTCTTATCCAGTTGCTATATGAACTAACTATCTGGGATGGTGGTAAAAGTGTTGGTTTGGTGGTTATTCTCCGTTCTCTTACCCAGGGTGGTGCAAGGATAAAATGTGCATTACAAACCACACCTGGGTGTGCTGGGATGGCAGGAGGCGAGTGCTGCTGCTGGGATCCAGCCTCATGCTGTGTTCCAGACTAGCGTGGGGGATGTCTGACAGGAGGTTACATCCCCCTGTTTTGCAGCCTGTTTCCATTATTGTGTTACTTAGATCATTCACTGCCTTCAGCCACTCTCTGCTGCCCTTGAAGGTGCACAGGGGCTGTCCTTTGCCCTCTGTTGTGAGCTTTTTCTTTGCCCCTCTCTTTCTGGAATGTTTCTTCCAGTTGTCTTTCCCTAGTTTTTCTGTTCTTCCTACTTTCCTAATCTCTAGTTTTTAATCACTGGTCTTGAATCTCCCTTAATAGTGGGACCCTCCAAGCCTCCAGTCTCCCCGCTCTGGACTTTTCCTACTAAGGGCTTTTCCCTTAGTAGGAAAGAGATTACCTCTGCCTCTGGAAGTCTGGAAGTGAGCATGGGAAATGCTTCATTTTCTCTCTTCTCATTCTCTGAAACACAGCAATTCAGGCCACAGAGAAAAAGTGTGGGGAAGACACTGTGGGAATTGGGTTGAGACACATCTAGAGCACACAGATGATATGAGCTGAACTGCCAAGCTCTGGCAAGCCTCAGCCAGCAGTTTCAGGAGCCATTGTCTTGGTTAGGTGAAGTAAACAAATACCCAAAGGCATCCTAAAAACAACTTGACACAACTTTTCCTAATTCCAGAGGTTTTTCGGGATTGGGTTTTAATTTTTTTAAAACACGGTGTTGGGAGTTCTCTTCTTTCTCAGCCATCTTCTGAGAAACTGTTGAACTCTTCAAAAATAGCAAAAATTTTCCAAAAATGCTGTACTCATTACAGACATCTGGGAAAACTTCAGTATACTAACTTGGCAAAGATACAGGAAAGAGAAAGAAGTCATAGAAGGGGAGTTATTGGGCAGTTTTTAATTTTAGTTTTTGCTGTGCATGCAGAACCATCTCTGTGATGGCCTTGGGGAGCAGAGTACTCTGACCTGGTGTGTATGTTGGCCTGGGAAAAGAGCTTTTGAACCTGGAATCCAAATCAAGGCTATCTCAAGTTTGGTATTTGCCTCAATATTCAAGGATTAGATGAGTACATGCTTTTTGTATCACAAGCTATGGCCTTAAATATTTGGTCAGTCAAGATGTCAGCCTGAAACCAGGGTGTGCACACCTGCTTTTTCTAAAGTGGGCTTCTGTGGATTTCTGATCTGGGCTTTTATTTCACATAAGCCAAATATAGTTCGTGACACATACCCTCATGGAAAAATATGGGGTGGGGGGGAACCCCACAGGCTGCTAAGCAATGTATATGAAAAATACTGGAAACCAAACTTGCTTTCATTTGCATCTAAAAAAGATCCCACAAACAGAACTGAAAAAGGCAAAGCAATGAGTAAAACCAGACTCTGCTATGACTGGAGATTAAATCAAAAACTGACAGTCAGTTTTTAGTTAAAGCAATTGAGTGGTTTAGTGCTTGTTCCCAGTTGATTTGGAGTGTTCAGAAAGCAGGTAATATTGGTGACCCCTCTCACACATGTATAGCTTCCCATTACTTCTTCCTGTGATGTCTCTTTGTCTTTCAGACATGTGCAGGTCTGAAGTGGTAGGAATTGTCTTAGATTGGCTCTGTCTGTGTACAGCACCAAAGAGAGCTAATGAATCTGGTTTTCTGGGGAATGTAGTCTGTCATTAATTCAGATTAATACAGTTGCCAGCTGGGATCTGAATGTGTGAAGAATATTATTGGATATGTCAATCATAAATTGCTGCTGTTGCTAATTTTGGTTTTTTGGTCACTTTGTCATTGCTCTGCCATTGTTATTCATGTAATTTTTTTTCTTTTTTGATTTGGTATGGATTTATTTGTTAGTTTACTTTGTTTTGCTGAAGAGCTCTCTAGAGCCCCCATCTCATGAGCATTTTGTTACTCACATTGCATTCTTGTACTGTACCAGAGTTGGTGACCATGTTCCATCGGTGGAAGAGATGAGTGAAAGCCACTGGCTGTATTTCAGGTGACACTGTGCTTTCCTTGATACCACATTAACCTGGTGCTTGGCTTTTTTCATCTTTGTAACACTGAGTGTGTGCTCTCTTTCTGTACTCTGGCATGCTGCTGCTGCTTTTCTGAGAGTACCAGAGATGCTCCTCACCTCTGAGTCTATTCACTTATTCTGAGCTGTGAGAGTGTGGATCACATATCATGTCTAAAAAATGAAACTATAAAGCACATTCTTTCACTCTGTGTATAGATATTTAATAAAGCAAAACTCGAATCTCTGACCTTGGAAGACTTGAGAGCTGAAAACCATGGATTTGATCTTATGATCTTTAATCACAAAGGTGTTCTTAAGCATTACTTGAGGTTATTTTGTGTAACTCTTCAGGTTGGAAGGAACTTCATAGGTGGTTTAGCCCAGCCTTTTTGGGGATATATTTTTAAAAACAGAGAGATACCAACCAGAGAAGACTAGGACTTTGGTATGGTGTTTTTAGAGCAGATAAATGGTTAGAGAGAGAATTTAAAATAAATCTCTAACTGACATCCTCAGGCAATGTGTATGTGTGTGTTTATAAAAACATATAGAATATTTATATAAAGAAAGTTCTTTGGGATGGGGCAATTAAAGGTTTTCATGTACCTTGTCACACTTGAAGGTTTCCAGCAAACCACTAGATTTGCCAGAGATGCAATGTATTAGTTTGTACAGACAATCTGAGAACTATTATCTATTACAGTCATTCTTGGTCACACATGCTAAATCTAATAATGCCTGGTATTTCAGTAACTTGTCATTCATGTGTTGTAGGGCCCTGGAAAAGTTTCTGAAGTACCAGAAGAAATCATTCCACCCATTTTAAAATGATGCAGCAGAGAACTTGATGTAGTTCTATATGCCTTTTAACCATTCATTTCCCTCCATTTAGTTCAGTTTTGTGTGTGAACCACTTTCTCCCACACTGTTTAAATTACTGAATTATACATAAGCTTAATGTTTTGAGAGATCAAATCTGAGTAGCTCTTCTCCTACATGATGTGCTGGAGTTGTAGCGGTAGGATAAAGACCAAGAAGTCCAGGAGTCAGTTAAGGACAGGAATGCTGTGTTTTGGTGTTGGGCATTAGGAGCTCAAGACTCATCCCTTTGCTCTTACAGAGATCTTAATGCATGAAATGCTGTTTTTACCTTAAAAAAAGGTTTTCATTAGGGAGGAGTGAAGAAATACACTTAAATTGGATTAATTTTACTATAGCATACTCTTGTCTACAGATTCGAATGGCCTTCCTAAGGCTGAAATAAAGGTGTCTGAATTTTACTTACTAGTAATTGTCTGTACTGAAGGAATAAGGTGTCTATCAGATACCAAAGTTATTCCAATAGGGGAAATAAATGGATTTTTCACTGATTTTGAAATATATATGCATTGTTACAGCTGAAAGACTGCTCACATTCTTCATCCAAAATCTTCTTTTTAAGAGTTACTTATTTGTACAGCCTTGGGGAATCCCACACAACTGCTGCAAAGGGCTCTCAGAAAGAGTGGAGGGGAAACAAAGATGCTTGCTGGCATCTGCACTACCTTGCCCTTGGCTGTGCCACATCTGCTGTCCCCATCTCAGAGGCCTCTTCAATAAAACATTGGTTTTGCCCTGCCTTTCTGTTAGGAGTTTGAGCAAAACAGCCCAGCCTTTAGCAAGGCTGCCATCTCTGTTTCTCTGACCTCTGGGAGGGGATCTGTGTAAATCCATCCAGTAACAGTTTAATTTATAAAGCAGGTTAAATAAATGAGAGCTGTTATTGACCTCTGCAGCACACGTAAACAACAGGAAGCTTTTAAAATATATTAAGCACATGAAATGGATTTTTCCCTCTTCAGCATAAGAAGAAAATCAATGTTAAAGACATACATGCATCAGCTTTACTCATACTTTTAATTATTGAAGCAGTTAAGCAAAGATGAAGTAACTAAGTGTTTTCTGTGCTTCTTTTCACTGTAAAGGAGGTTGGGACAGACTTGACTGGTTTTTGGTATTGTTTTGTTTCAGGTGATAAAAGTGACGCTTCCTTAGAATTCTAGGGGCTGTGCCTGCAAAAAAAAGTGATGCTTGTCATGAGATAAGGGTATTAGCCTTGAAACTTAAACAGGCAGGCTTGCTACCAAAAAGTTAAGCTTTCTATACAATTGATCCTAGAATAGAGGATAAAAGCATATTGTTTGAAAGACAAAAAAAGTAGGTGGGAGAATTCAAAATGGCAATGTATTTGGTGTTAATCTCTGAACTGAGGAGCAGACTTTGAGAGTGATTAAAAAAAAGTGATTTATGGAAAATAATTATTTATAAATATTCAAAAATATAAATTCATTTGAAGAATAACTTGGAAAAAAAGTTAAATGGACAAGTCTGTGTGGATATACTATTTCAATATTGAAAGGAACATTTGTGGTATGATTTTTTTTTCCTAAAATTTGAACCATTTTAATATAGAAAATGTTTTTTTGCCGCTTTAGCACAACAATGAAGCCAAATTCCTGGTCTGTGATATACTATGACTTTTCACTGAACAGTGTAGTTACCCTGTTTTGGTCTTCCATTAAGCCTCATTCCCCTGCCTAAGGCCAGTTAAAATTCTTGAAACAAATGCACAACCTTGAGTCAAGTAAAAGCTGAGACACTGAATTGTTTGGTTTTCTTATGTACTGTGAAGTGAATAGGTAGCCCAGGGAGTTAAAACTATTTGGGGAATGCGAGCTATGTTCATCTTTTGGAACAAACTGCTTGAACTCCCCATTCACACTGTCAACTACACAGCCAACCTGAGCCTGGTTGCTTTGCATAGCACATTGAACCTTCCCCCTTGTGCAGTTTGGAAAGCCACAAATATTTTTCTTGTGTTTTCATGCGTACTTGTAAAGGAATGCATACTCTTATGTATATACATATATTACTGTACTGAGTTGGTTTCCTGCTGTTGTTTGTCAGCTTTCTGCATTAGAACCCAGTTTCCCTGCCAAAACCTGTTCTTATGTATGATAGCCAAAGCAGTAACACCTCAGCCCTGTAAGCTCTCAGAACTCTTGTGTGTGGTATTTTATTTTAGCATGTGTTACAATCCAATACTCAGTCTGTCTATCCAGCATTCCCTTAAACTGGTGAAGATTTTCAGTTCTGAAGCTGGTCAGTGCCAAGGAATTTCCAGGCTAAATGTGCCTAAAGTTCAAGATGACTCTATATGTGGAAAAAGGAAGTGATGATGAAAAGAGCAAGAGGCCTAGGAAAAAAAGAAAAAAAAATCCAAGCAAAGGACTGGGTCAGCAGTTTTACATGAGGCTGCTGCAGAACAGCCTTCTGGATTTTCTCTGAACTACATTAATTCATGTGAGGCCTTGACCTGGCTGTGAGTCCACAAGGCTGACTTTAAACTTTTCTTCTTCTATTGTTCTATCAAAAATGCTGCCCTGGAAGCTATTTGCAAGTGTTCTCTTTTTATTTGATCCAAGCATGGTGTCCCTGGGACAAACCAATGGTATGGTCTGACCAGCAAGTTTCTCTTGGCTTCTGGTGATCCTTAGGGCTGTTGCATAAACACCATGGCTATAAAACAATTAGCAAACTTACAAAAAGTCCAAGTAACAAGGACATTGCACCAAACCAGCTCAGTCCCTTCTAAGAGAGTAGAAGTGACGATGTTAACAAAATCTTATTGTCTGAGATGGCTGTCACATGTGTTTCCCCACGCTTACTATGTGACATGGTGGAACTGAAACACAGCACATTTGAGACTGAGACTCTTACCTAACTTTTGAGGTTAGAGGTTTAGGTTCTACAAGAGATGACAGAGATCAGGACATGAATAGTATATAAAATAGACAAAGTCCAGTCTACCCAAACCAGACCAGAAAAACCTGAACATAATTACAAGGATTAAATGCCAGTCTTGGATAGGAGCCATATGTGCAAGGATGGTTCAGTAACAAGATGCTTTCTAGCTATGCAGAAGTGAGTAGACAGTTTCTTCTTAGCATATTCTGTCAACACCCTCATTACACAAACCCTGCCTCACTCAGACGGGAGGCTGGACTACACGCCATGTGTTGGTCCACTGTGGCTGTGTTGTGTTAGGTGAATGAAACTTGCAGCAAATTAATGCTGTGATCCTTTATAAAATATTTGTTCTGCTTCCCATAGTGCTTTAAAACGTGAACTGTGTGTGTCTTTTAAAAATGGTTTATTTCAGCCATTCTCAGATTTATCTGGCAGTTATTTCCTGGGGAAACAGTTAGGCTGGGTTTTATCCTTAGTTTCTGTTTTCTTCCTGCTGGATATGAGGGATACTCTCCACTGAAGGGGATGCCATCTACTTTTTAAGGCAAAAATTTTTTCCATGTTCTAAAAAAATTGGCAACAAAGGTAAGCAGTAAAATTGATGCCTACATAGAGTTAAAGCAGTTTCTTGTTTATAGCTGTGTAACTGCAGGGGAGTAATGGACAGCTCTTCCTCAATCTATACTTATAACCTCTCTGATGCAGCTTTGCTGGGTGCTTAAAGTGCTTTGAAAATGCATTCTGCCAAACTTACAGCATTTGCAACCCTCAGTAACACCACTTGCTTTGTTTTCCTAATGTTTCTGTAGGGTTGGGGTTGACCCAGATCAGGATCCTCCACCTACTAATGACAGCTTTCAAGTCTTACAAGGAGTAAGTAATTACATAACTTCTCTATTAGGCTGATCTTATTTTATAACTAAGACAATAGAAAACTGCAGAAGTTGTATGCATGGATAAAACCTTTCTGTCCTAGCTAGGGGATTTTGCTTTGTAATATTCAAGTAATGCCCACTGAAAAACATTCAGTGATTTTGGGTGTAGTGCTGTCCTGGTCACATTTTTCTGTATACGTAAGGCATCACAAATATCCCCAAATCTACTAATACACTGTATAACAATGCACTTTCCTCTTCCCCCACCTAGCCAACATGCTTGCTCTTAGCATGCTACTGCACAAATAGTTCTTCTCAGTTCAGAGGTAATACTCTTGGCTCCTCTTCCTTAACTGATAGCAAATTTTGGCCCTTGGACTTGCTTAGAATCCAAGATTAAGAGTGCTAATCTGATCTTGACTCTTGTATACCAAACCATGTACCAGCTGGATCCTGCTGGGACTGCCTATCACCTGGGTGAAGCAGAAGAAGAATGGGCAAATTGCCATTTGTATTTAGCAAAATGTTACTGTGAATCTTTAGTGAAGCTTTCCATGCATCAGTAACAACCCAAGAGTTGATTTGGTTTTCCCCCTGAAATATGCTATTGGCAAACAGGATCGCTGGAAGAATGTTGTTCATAGCAGAATTTTCAGTTTTGCTCATCTAAAAACTAGAGCTAATTCACAGGAGGAACGAAAGGTCTGGAAAAAAACAAAACAACTCAAAAATTCCTCAGGCTTAACTGAGAGTTTCCTCTGTCCAGATCTTAGTTTCCACTCTTCCAGAGTTCTGCTTGACACTGATGATAGCAGCACAGCTGGTTGCTTATGTAGGGACCTACTTGAGCAAGACAGCTTTGGATCTAGAAGATGCTTAGGGAACAATGTTCTATGATGATTCTGGTGTTCAGGCTTGTCAGAGATACATGAATGTGTTTGGGTTTTGGTTTTGGTTTTTTTTTTCTTTGTTTGGTTATTAGCTTTTTTCATAGTGGTTCCTCCTGCCTTGGCTTTTTTTGGTTTTGTTTTTTTTTCTTTGTTTGGTTGGGTTTTTTTTGTTTTTGTTTTATTTTTTATTTTTTGTTTGGTTTGGTTTTTTTATTTCTTTGGGTTTTTTGGGTTTTTGTTTTGTTTTGGGTTTTTGGGGTTTTTTTTTGGTCTATTTGTTTGGGGGTTTTATGGGCTTTTGTTGGTAGTTTTTTGGGTTTGTTTTGTTTCTTTTCTTGTTGATTGGTTGTGGGGTTTTTGGAGGTTGTTTTTTCTTTTTTCCCAACCCTTTCTTTCTCTTTTCCTGGTACATGTTGTACAGGTAAGAGATACTTGCTCAGGAAGCACCTCTTTCATTTCAGACACTGCATTTGCCATCTCTATGTTCTTTGTAAAAGCCTGTGTCCAGCACAAAAAATAGATGCCTAAATGGTGGAGCTGGCTACAAGTAAGGGTGAACTTTGTTTTGTAACTATCTGGAAGTAACCAGAAGTCCAGGCCCCAAAACAGCTTTTACAGTGAACACCACAATTATTGCATATAACCAAGGTTAGGAAGTGGTATCATGGAAAGATGGCTTTGGCCAATTCAGACTGAGCTTGTCCTCAGTAATTGAGGAATTGCTGTAATGGGAACAGAGCAGGGATATTCTGTTCTCATTCAGTGTCTGCTGTGGAAAAACCATGTTTGCTTTTTCCCATGTAAACATAAAGAACTTACCCATTTGTTTCCCTCTTTAGCTGTGCATTGCATTGCTAATATAGTCCATTAGTCAGTTCCCTTTGGGTTCATCTTTCCCTCACCAAGCCAAGATTAGCAGTATGTCACAGTTAAAGAAAATATATCATTTGGGGAGGGGAGGGAGTGAAAATGTTTAGGTTTAACTCTTGGTGGATCATGGATTTTTTGCAGGTCAGAAGTACACAGTGTAATCCTATCTTGCTCTTTTTCAGTAGTTTGGAAGATGATTCATACAAGGCATTCATTTGTTTTCCTATGTTTAACTCTGGCCTCTGGCCATAAACACAACCCCTCCCCCCCAGCCAAACAACAAACAACAAAACAAAAACACAAAGCAAGACACTCAAACCCTAAACAATAACAAAAGTAAAAACAAATGCAGCTGCAGACCAGCTGGTGTGATGATTTGCAGCACTGCTAGTTAAGAGATTATATTTAACACTCTTAGCCCTTTCAAGGCTGATCCTGCATTTTTGAGATTTGCATGACCTCCCTCAATTGTGAGCTTTACATGGATTCTCTGTTAAGCACATTTCTCCTAAATGTGATCTATTTCATCAGGTTTCTGATAATTTATCAGATATTATAATGTCCCTTTTTCTTCCAAGGAAGCAACATGCTTAAGAAAAAAACATCAAACCTAGAGTTAGATCTAGACCTAGAATTAAGGAAGCCAGCCAAGCAATGAATAGGAATCAGTCTTGGACTATCAGTGAGGCTTATTTGTCAGTTTGGAAGTAATTTCTATATGTGTTACTAGACTAACTGTGAGATAAGGTTTTAGACTCCAGGGAACCTGGTGGTAGAGGAGTTGTTAAAGTAACATGAGTGCAATGAAGACAGCCTGGTTCTCTGCAGTCGTTTCTGGTCTTTCTAGGGAAAGCAAACTCAGTATAGGGAAGTCTCTAAACAGCTTTCTTCTGTGTTTCAAGTACAGTATTGAATTTGACCTTTTTTTTGACAGAACATTACATTATGAATTATTGGAGTGTATAGTTCTGTGTTTTTCTGCCTGAAGTAATTTAATGTGCTTTTATCTTACTTTTAGGATGGCCAAGATTCTGCACAAAGGAACAGGACGAAGCAGGAAAGTGCTTGGCTCTTCAGGCTGTGGTATAGCTTTGATCATAAGTATCCTTTTGAAAACACAGCTTAGTTTCAAGGCATGAAATGTTCACTTTTTCCCTTTCCATGTACCCATCTGTAGCCTTAAGCACTTGATCTGTCTCCTTATGACTCTCTCAAGTATTTGACAAGCTCAAGAAACAGAACTGAAGGCTGAATTCACTGGCTCAGCAGTCAGACCTTTCATTTCCCTAGTGCAGGGTGTGTGACACTTGCTGGAGGACAGAAACCAGACAGAGATGAAGTACCTTCCTAAACAATAATACAGGAAATTAACTGCTTCAGATCCTCTGACTTGTTCTATTATTCTAATGATGCTAACAGCACAAATTAGGTTTCCAGTTCATTGTACATATCTAAGCCTCAACTCATTGCTCTGCAGAGCCATCTGCTTTAGTGATGAAGTCCCAAAATCTGTGGTTGATTCCTAAAGAGGAAGCTCTGGAACTAAAAATCTACATGAGATCCAGCTGATCTCCTTAAGTATATCCAGAAGGTACTATGGATGTTAAAGCAGTGTCTCTGAGTGTATATAGTACTGTACAGCCTTTCTGAAGCTGTTATTATACTATTTAGATAACCTTGTTTATGATTCTCAGCAACTTTTGTGTAGCTGTCCTGTATTTCATGCTTGTGGGTTTGGGGTTTTTTTAATCTACTTAACTTAATCAGTATGATATTAATTATGACACATTAAGTATGTCACAGCTGCTCCTCCTCAACAGCTTAGAGTCACTTAGCAAAAAATGGCAAAGATAATCTTGTGGCCATGGCAAGTCGCTTACATCTAGAAACCCAAAGAAATTTCAATACTGAATTCCTAGTAATTTCTGGGGCAACTAAATATACACACTGACCAGAGGTAGAGCCCTAATGCTCTCGCAGCTTGCATGTGAGTCTTTTCAGTGGGGTCTTGGCCTTTGATTGATGAGAGGTTGCTGGCCTGGTTGGTCATTTCCTTCCATGCCTTGTGCACGAGGCTTTCACACCCAGGAAAACCTAGAGAATAGGACTAGAATTGTTGAGAATGTTTGGATCCTAATGGCACTTGCATAATTTCCTTCCATGCCTTGTGCATGAGGCTTTCACACCCAGGAAAACCTAGCTAGCATGTTGAGAATGTTTGGATCCTAATGGCACTTGCATCTTTGGGATAAAATCCGTTTGTGACCAGCGCTTTCAGATGCAGTAGTACTGACCCAAAGCACAGAAGGGAGTGTATGTGCTATTTTAAATATTCATAAATGTCTGTAATTCCAAGTTAACTCTTCCAGTGACTGGCCCCAAAGTGCCTCAAGGTCAATTTTTATTATTAAAAATGAACCAACTAGACTTTGGTGTTAAAAGCATGAAAGGATCTGGCTGTAGCTGACTGCTTCTTTTTTGTCTTTTTAAGAAGGAAGCAGAGCTGTGCTCTTCCCCTGGCTTTACAAAAGGGATGTGCCTGATGAAAGGAGTAGTTGGCAATGCTGACTTCCCTCAGCTGATGCTTGCAGAGAACAGTCCCTCCCTTGCAGCTGCAGCAAAGGCGGGGGGAGTGCCTGGAGAAAATTACAGCCTAACTACCTGCTTCACAGAAACTTAAAGGATCCTGACAGTGCATTCCCTTTTCTTTTTCCAGTGGTGAATAGCAATATTTAGGAAAACTTTCTGTGGAGTTTGTGCCAAGGAATCTGACATTAAGAGGCAGAATTGTCTTACTTTATGTAGAGGTAAAAGTCTGCTCCTTCTGTTGGAAGAAGTCATTCAGACGAGCATTGGCTGGGTGGGCTTAAATTGTATAGATGGGATGATCTTTAGAATTGCCACCTCTATATCCATGGCTAAATGGTTTTTTTGCTGGTGAAATCACTTGGTTTCTGGGTAGAAAGGCAGATTGTCTCAAAATTCACTCTTTGCAAGAGAACTTAACTTGAAAAATATGTAAGTGATGGAAAAGTGTGCTCCAGAGCTCACTTGCCTGCAGAGCTCTGTACGCATGGATGAGTGGGAACTTCACTCCTGTGGAATGCACTTAATGTTGTGGGCTGTTCCCTGGGCTCACCCACAACTGTTAAACAAGGAGAAAACTGCAACTTTGATGAAGTAGCAGATGTCTTCAACTGGGCTTGTTTTTTCACGGCTGAGTTGTTGCCCGTCTGGCGCAGGGCAGCGTGGAGCCTGGGTTAGAGCAAGGGCAAAGAGCTTGTTTCTTTCCAGGAATGGGTGTAACCACACTCTTAGGGAAGGAGGAAAGAAGGAAACATAACTCTCCTCGAGTAAACAGCTGTGCCAGGCTCTGCTAAAGGGAAGGGATAGCTCTCTGCTAAAACAGCCCCCTTTTAACCCCTTTGCCCTAAGCATCTTAAATGGGTGGGGAGGAAAACTGTTATATTTACAAATGGACTTGATTCTCTCTGTGCTTAGAGGCCTAAGAAAGTAACTAGACTACCTACAACTTATATATTTGAATTTAAAATAAAATTGATTGAGTCGTGTACTAGTCAAGATTAACATGCTGCTTTTTAATAGAGACATATATTTTGACTCTTGGGTATTTTTTTTCAGGCATATCATCAGTGTGGAGTACTCATGTGAAAAGTGTGGATTTACCAGGGCGCAGACCTATAAGATAGGGGTAAAGACACTTTAGTTTCCCACACCCATGTCCCCTCAGTGTCATCTAGGTAGCATTCTTTCCTTTGACACTGTGGTACATGGTTCATACAGTTTTCCCTTTGCCTTTCTGGCTCCCTGTGGTAAATGTATGTGCACTGGAGAAATGTCTGTGAGCATTGCCAGGGCAATATCTCTGGCTGCACCTCTGTGGCTCAGTAACCAGTAGATAAATGGCTATATTGATTTGAGGAATTTGAATGGACAGAATTTCTATATTTCCCTATATTGAACCACACAGGAATTAACTTGCAATCTTGACACCATGCTCCCATCTTCAGAGCAGAAATACCTTTGGACCTTTCAACACTAAAGCACTTCTGCTTTCTCCTTTTTACTAGAGAGCGTGGAAGCTGGAAACATTGCAACTGTTTGAAACTTGTAAGAAGTTAGCTAGTGGTCCTTGCAGATTAGTGAGTAAAAAAACTGTCCTTGGAACAATCAAGGGGAAAATGTTGGGAGGGTGTTTTATGTACAAGTATTGCATATTACAGTTCAAAGGCAGAACCAAATTTATGTACAACTGTCTCTTTATTTTCAAGAGTGGTTTTTGAGCACTGGTGTGTTTTCCTTAACTACTGAAGTTATTTAAAGCCAATTCTCACTCACAGTGGCCCTCCATTGACCACAACGCTGCCCAGCTGGTGTGGCCTGATAGCTCGCTGTCTGACAAGTCCCCAGGTTTATGATGTAAGTAGAACAATTCAATGCCTCCTGGTTTTGTTTTTTATTTATTAAACTTAAGCAAATCGGTGTTTTTTCTTTCTAGGTAACATCCTGGTTTCAGCTGGTCTGGTAGACATACTGCAAGAAAGTCCTGATTTTCCTAGGCAGAAAAGATTTAAGATTCACTCCCCAGAGGCAAAAGCTTCTCTTGTTCAAATCAGAAACGATGTTATTTTCAAATACTACTTTAGAAAAATAACATTTAAGGATATGGGGAAATTACAGGCCTAGTCAATAACCCAGTTCAGTGAATCACTTCAAAATATTCAGTCCCTTCTCAACACTTTTGGACAAGATTCTTTGCCTATTACTGCTAAACTTCGATGTCTCCTTAGAGATGTCATTGACACATTTACCCAGCTGGAAAAATACCTTGTAGTGCTTCCCTTCATTGTTTCTACTGCAGAATTTGAGATCTGGTTTCAGAGACTGTTAATCAGTTACTTATCTCAGTCTAGCAGTCTGAGACCACACTGTCTTTACAACTGTGTCTTGCAATAATTAGTGCTCTGTTCTCATATTACTCTTGTAGGATCCTGATACTTGTCATTCTTATCTGCACAGTGCTTCTGAAATCTACAACTTTTCATGAGCTGCTTGTAAATAAAGCCACATTGCTATGTGGTACATCTCAAATTTGCAGGTTCTCTGGAATATTAATATCTCTATGCTCAAGTAGTCTTGGACCAGTTGTCTATTAATCCTTTCCTAGAGAGTTATGAATTCTAATTGCAGCTTTGAAATCTTTCCCACATTTCTTTCTGTGTATCATTAGCATCTTACTTGTACCTGATAGAAAAAATTCAAAGAACTTTGGGATACACGTTGCCCATTTGGAACTATAGCTAATACAAGAAATTGGCCTAGCTCCTATCTTTGCAATGGCACTGCAAGTCTTGAAACATGTCTAGATTGCAAGGGATCCATCAGACCAATTAGCCCACTTGTGCACTACCCATATGTCTGTCTTTGTATGATCTTGTGAGAGTAATTGCCCAGTAACTGAGGACCTAACCAGAATGAACATACAAGCTTTGACTCTCATTTTCTCTTATTGTTGGCTCTTTTTCTTCTTTTTTTTTTCCTCATTACTCATCCTTGTTGGCTACCACCAGATGTGGAAACTTATTATTTAATGGATTGGCTTTGTGATACACACAGGACATTAGCTTCATTAAAAATGCTTGTTAGGTTGTATACTTTGTTAAGGTGTATAATGTGGAACTTTCCTATTGTATTCTCTTTCCTGTTCCTGTTTCAGTGCAGTGCTGCAATTGTCTTAGGGAAGAATATGATTTTGAAGTTTTATTTCTAGCTTCTTTTCAAGAGTTCTGAACCCTGCAGTTGCTTTGTCTTTTTGTTTCTTTACATGGCTGACTTTGCTACAGCACTTGGCTATGACATTTTATCACTGCTTTATAAGCTGTGGAATCTTTTTGCCTTTCTATTAAACGCAGATGAAGCAACACAGACAGCCATGTCTTTGTGGGGACAGAAACTGCTTGGAATAGTGTTTTTGTGAGGTATTTCCAGGAAAATTAAAGGGCACACCTGTGAGAATTAAAGACTGAAGATTGTCAGTCAAACAAGAAAAAAAAAAGTCTGCAAATACTTAATAAAGTATAGCATAGCTGTAAAATATTTTTCTGAAACAATTGTTAAATTCTGGATCTCCTTCCAGGTGCATGTCTGAGTTACAGTATCTATCTAGAGAAGAAAGCAGTAAGTATGTGGCTATGCTAACTGCATATTTGTAGACTGTTTTTAGCTTTTGTTGTTTCAGTTTTTTTTTTCTTCTCTGACTTTATCCCAACCTTACTTAGAATTCACTCTCACTTCCACAAGTGGGAGTAGGTCTTTTAAATTAAATGCTAAAGAGGGGTTCAAAAGTCTGAAAGTCAAATAATCCTCCAATGCAGCCCACCCACAACTTATTCCTCAGCATGAGATCGTGTCCTCTAAGCCTCAATTTTCATGGAGTATGTGTAGGGCTCTGAGTCAGCCCACAGGGGTGAGGTACAGTGGATCTCTTCCAGACATGATGTTACTGTTCCTTGCTGACATTCTCCCACTGCTTTAAGGCTGTGCCACTAGGCTGTTTCCAATGCAGACAGACAAATTGGAATTTAAAGCATGAAAAGGTGCTGCAGTTAGCAGTTTAAGTTTTGAAAATTATAAGTTTAGTCACTATTTTTCTCTTCTGGTGTTATCTGCAGTGTATAATCAGTTGGCAGCTTATCCCAAACTGATGTAGGTCAGTTATTTTGCTTTGTCTTTTGAAATGTCCTTTGAAACTTTTAGTAATTTTCTGTTCTATCAGTCATTTATTCCAACTGAAAGAAGCACTCCTGGGGATACTTTGTAGTTGTTGTTTGTTTGTTTTGGGGCTCTTGCACACTTAAAAAGAAAAATATTTCTTGCACATACACAGTAGGACAACTTGGTATGAAACTAGAAAGAATTGAAGTAATTTATAAATATGCAAGTGAAGAAACTTGATTTGCAATCTGTGGAGGAGATAACTCTCAAAATGGATAAGAAAACTGTTCAGCCAGGCTTCCCCCTTCCCTCTCCTTAGTGGTTCTAGCTTCATAGCAAAAATTATTTAGTTTCCTTGGTGAATTTAAATTCAGCTGAGAAAGAGAAACTAAACAGAGCATCAGGTTTAAGTCTGAATATATTTTGCATGTGTGGTACTTGATGCTTTCATTTTGGAGCCACAAGATAAGCAATTTCTAAGGTAAGTTCTGTTATCTGTGGTGCCTGCATTGTGTTCAGCACCAGCATCTGTGACGACTGCCAGCACTTCGCACAGGCATTGTACTTTGCTTGTGCTTTTTTTCTACATTGTCTTAGGAGGCAATAAAGACTGGCTTTGTGAGCAGTAACTCAAATAAGCTTTTATAACAAAAAACATTTCCAGCATGTATTCTTAGGAGCAGGAACAGCTTTTACCACAAAGAGGATAGTCTGCAGAGAGGTCCCTCAAGGTTATGGTCAGGACATCAAAGCAGAATTCAGGCTTTTGCAGTTTTGGATTCAGGTCTTTAGCCATTCTAGTGTGTCAGCTTCAGTGGTGTCGTTCAGACCTGCGTTTTCTGAGTGAATTGAAGCTTTTCCTACAGAACCGTAGGGGATTGCAGAGGCCTGTTCAGGGTTATTCTTGGGAGTATTTCAAGTCTCTGTGGATCTATTTGGATACATTTCCTGTCTTTCTTGAATGAATTGTTCATGCTGCATGAAGCACGATAGGTTTATTCACCCATCCTCTTTGTTTGCAAACATAGTAAACTGTATAGTACATGAGATTTTTTGTGGGTGTTCTCTGGGGAAATATAGGAAATAAAATCTATGCTGCTTGCAGTGCTATTCAGAATGGAAACAAATAAGTGGACCTTGGCTTCTATGAGGCCATGTTTGTTCACTGCCTTGAGAGAAAGCTCAGTGTTTTCTCTGGAACTGATCATGTTTAGGTGCACGTAAGTGCAGCCTGGGACAAACCAAGAAAGACTGAGGCAGGACCTGCCATATAGTATAAAGCCTGTATCAGTATCATGCTTCCAAGAGCTCCTCAGCCTTTTGGGGAAGCTCAAGTGTAGTGTATTCTTACAGTTTCTTATCTGCTAGGTGGCTGCAAGCGTTCACTGCTCAATAGCATTGTGGAGACAGGAGGTGCTTTGGGAGCTTGCTGCAGCCACTTCACACGTGGGCCTGGTACAGAAATACCTTCTGGTGCTCTGTGTTAGCTCTGCCTTCCCCTCCTTGGTGCCTCTCCAAGGGCAAAAACCATGAAGGGGAATGTGTGATAGACCTTAGCACCTTCTTCAACTTTTTAAAACATAATCAGTCAACAGTCACAAACTTCCTGCTTCTTGCTCATTTTTCTGATTTTCATCGTTATTTGAATGCCTCTTCTTCCAAACAATATATATACAGACTGCAGATTTTCTTAAACTGATTATTTTGTGACTCTTTTAATCATTTTGGTCTTGTTCCTCAGACTTTTTTTTTGCAGCTAAAAGACTGCAAAGGCTATTTCTGCCAATTATAGCTGAACCCCTTCATTTCTCCCTTTTTATTTCTATTTAAGATGGTGCCAGTAGGTCAGTGTTTTCTTCGTGATCAATAAAGCAAGTGTCCTAACCCATATTTGCTCTCTGAGAACAGTGCTCTCTATCAGACTAACCCTGTCACAAAAAAGCAATGATAAATTTGGATGCCATAAAGGTTCTAAGAAATTAGCATTCCTTCGAAGTAGAGCTTGTCTTGCACCCAACACTGAACTGCACCATTTCTTTCGTTGATTTTGGCAAACTCCTGACACCTCTTCTAGTCCTTGTTAGTTATACATTCTGTATCATCTAGAGGCTTCTGCTGCTTCATTTTGTCTGATTATCTTTCTGACATAATGACAGGAAGCTTTCCCAGGAAGTTTTATTTAGCCAGGAGCTGCATTTTTCATCATGGACAGGTTAATCAGCATTTTCCATCTCCAGTGCCCTGAACTCCTGTTCTGCAGTAGAGCAGTGCTTTCTGTTCACGTTGATCACAGACATCCCATCTCACATGGCCTGTGCCCCCCTTCCTTTGCCGCAGTGCAAGAAAATAAAGCATTTTGAGAATGTAGCCCAATCCGTGTCCAGCCTACTGAGGGAGCAGCAATACACATTTCAGCTCCTGCTAAGCAGTACAGAGCCACTCATGTGGGGAAATAATTGCTTTCAGTTGCAAGAAAGCAAGCTTATAGCACTGATTAGAATTTCCTTCAAATATGAAGAAAGCCCATTTTCTGACCAATTCAGCTATATTGCCTTTTACCATGTTAAACAGGAGTGCAATTTTTGTTGTATTATGCTGTGATAGAGAAATGAAGTGCTTTATTACACTTTGGCAATTTCTATTCTCTAAATATTTCATTCCATCTCTGCCAAAATAAATTCACAGCGTTTTGTGAGACACTTTCTTAAATGATTTTGAGAAGAAAACACATCAGAACTACTTACAAAACTATGAAGCAAGATTTTTGTTGTATCCATCATTTATGGTTCAGGAGCATGCTTAATAACTAGGTCAAGTAATTCTTTATTTAGGAATAGGTAAAAGTAAGGAGATAGTTTGAAAAATATTGTTAGTTCTTGATGTGTAACAAAAAAGTGTTGAGGAATCCTTGAATACAGAGATTTTGGGCTTTCTGAGTTCTTATTGACTTGCATTAAAAGTTTACTAGTGAATTTGACTAATTAGCAACAGATGCAACTCTGTATCTGGAGTGGCTCAACTGTGCTTGATCTCCTGTATTGCCTTCTAAATTGTCATGCAAAATCCAATATGTACCACTCATCTCCTGTACTTCTGGTGTACTTCCAGTGCTACTAAATACTGGGTTACCCGTTCCATAACCTAGTTCTTGGCTTCAGCTCCCTCTCATCTCTCCCCAGTAGCAGTAGCTATATAGGGAACAGTAAGCTGATTTGCAAACACTGGGTTCAAGGTTATTTTTAACATATCTTAAGGTAGAACCTTATCTCTTCTGTATTGACATGTAGGTGAATTCTTCAGTTATGTTCTGGGCAAAGAAAGGTGCTGTGCACTGTATAAAGATTTTTCTTTTTTCTTCTTTTCAGAACCAGGAACAGCTTCGAGAAGAGGATTCTGATTTTATTCTGAATGATGGTGACCTTACCGTGACATATGGTGATACAACAATAACTGCAAATGGTTCTTCTGGCCCCCATACCGCTACCACTAACCTTGACAGCAGGAGAACAAAAAGTAGTTCAGAGGAAGCGCTGGAACGTGATTTGGGAGCAGCAGATCATGAAGTTACAAACAGGGGTACCCGGCTAGTATTTCCTCTGGAATACAATGCATGATTACTGACTCAGTAAAAATAACTCTTGCTCTGTGAATGGATCAAGGAAGACTGCAGGCCACTGTGTCACTTGAGGTGGGGGTGTTTATTTAAACAAGTTAACATGCAGAAGTGGTTTTACTAGGGTCTGAAGATGTCACCTATTTTTTACTCAAGATGCTGACAGTGGGGTTTTCTATATGTCTGAAAATAGACAAATGAGAAAACTGGTTATTCTCCTCTTTCCAACTGCTTATCAAATCCAAGTATAACTAGCATGCTGCAATTGTCTTGTTCAGCTGCAGCAGCTCTCTCTCTGAAGAGAGGTACATGAAAATGTTGTCATAGAACTGAGCTTGTCTTGGCTTAGCTTGAGAATGTGAAAGGACAACTATAAACTTGACAATTATTAAGAGACAAAAAAGATTGTGTGTATATCTGAATGTGAAGAGATCCATTGTTAACTTCTCTTGTGAGGCTGAGGAAACTCAAGTGAAATGGGACAGTAAACATTAGGATTACAGATGAGTAAATGAAAGACTGGGGAATCTGTTACTGCAAAATATACTTAATCTATTTCAGGGAAAAGAAAAGGGAAAATAAGATTTCTTCACTGGCTAGCTGTTTAAATAGGAAGGCAATGAAGGCTACTTGTCCCTTTAGCTTTGGGCAACTTGACTATTACTCTTAGCCTAACTTCTAGTGCCTCAAAAGAAAAACATCCAGCTTCCTGTGGTCTAAGATGTACCTGAAGCCAACGTGAGCCTGGAGCCAGGCTCTCTCGGGTAGCAGTCACAAAATAAAACTTTCTTTCTTATGAAGATAGTTGGAAACTTGGGCTGGGGAAAACAGCAGAGAGGAGGAGGAGGAGAGAAATAAAGAGAGAGAGAGACAGTATTGAACTTGCATGGAACCAGGAGGTTTCATATTGCTTAGAAGAATTCATGGACTCTGCTTACAGTTCTTGTGTGTGATAAACAGCAAACATCTAATTAAACAGACAAACAAATACTACTGTTTTTACCATTTGTGACTATCCTAAGAGAAAGCTGTTTACCCTTGTTCTCTCTCGCAGAGTAGATGTGAAACTTCGGTGGGGCATTGCACAACAGCATATAAGCTACAGAAGTGATGAACTGTAGTATCATCTTAAATGTGAAAAGGGAAGAATCTCTGACTAGTATTTAGCCCACTTACATGTAGGCTAGCTTTAACTTATTGCTAAATGCTTTTTCATTTCCAGATGAGGAGATAATCATTGTCTTTGCCAATAGCTGAAAATGTATGCTTTGAACAGCCTTTCAGCTATTTAAAGCATGCTAAAATGTGATTTCATTCTCATGTCTCAAAAGATTTATTTTTTTAAAGAGTTTGTGGCCCACTAACGTGATGTAATATCAGTTTGTCCAAAAAGTGTGTTTTTCTTGCTGCCATTTCAGTTGTTCCTTTCATAAAATTGTGTGTGAGTAAATACCCACTCTGTTTTTCCTTAACTATTAAACTTATTGGGCTAACCTCAGTATGTGAACTTCCTGCTGCAGAGGAACTTTGCAGTTGTGTTGTCTAGTCTGCTTTCTTTCAAACGTGTTCTCTAATGGGGGATCTACTTCCCTGTCTGTCTGAGGTAAATTTATAAAGGGTATTGATCTGTAATGACTGTCTCACATTATTAAGAAAAGAGACGAGGAAACCAGGAGTTTTTTTGTGAAGAAATTGTAAAACCAATACAGAATCACAGAATATTCCCAGTTGGAAGGGACCCACAAGGAACATCAAGTGCAACTCCTGGCCCTGCACCATCCCCAAGGGTCACACTGCGTGCCTGAGAGTGTTGTCCAAAAGCTTCTTGAATTCTGTCAGTGGTGCTGTGACCACTGCCCTGGGGAGCTGTTCCTGTGCCCAATCACCCACTGGGTGAAGAACCTTTTTCTAATATCCAGCCTAAAACTCCCCTGACACAACTTCAGGCCATTCCCTGGGTCCTGTCACTGGGCACCACAGAGAAGAGATCAGTGCCTGCACCTCCTCTTCCCCTCATGAGGAAGTTGTAGACTGCAGTGAGGGAGCTTTGCTCTTAAATGGTGCAGAGTAACAAATTCTGATGAAGATGGCTGAGCAGAACAACTCCTTTACAGGCCTGCATGTGTTTTGCAAAAAAAAAGCCAACTCCCTTCACTTCCCTGGGAGCACAGGCAGTTTATCAGTTAAAGCTGAGGAGCCATGAGCAGGTCCTGTGACTGCCAAGAGCACTGCTACAACCAGGGGCCCAACTCTGGAATTTCCAGGGTGCTTTCCGTGAGAGGTGTTCCAAGTGCTGCTGACGCTGCTTCCAGGAGCAGCTCTGATCCTCCATCTCCAGTTATCAGGCAGGAGGAGCACTATGACAAGTGTGTTTACACTCTCTGCTACATGTCTACTATGCAATGTAAACTGGCTTTCTGATAAGCCTGAACAAGGGTGAAGTATCACATACTTGGTACTTGACCAAGTCTAGCCCTATTCCAAGGAGGCATGTTTTCTGGCCTATGAAAAGACAAAAAAAAATGTATTTACTTTTACAATGAAGGAATTGCCTTTGGGGAAAGGACTGCAGGAATTTTAACTGGAGGAGAGAAAAAAAATTTTTTTTTTTGGCTGAACTTCCAAAGAGCTGATCTGAAGCAAGTAAATAGCAAAGGTTAAAATTATGTCCATTATTGATGAAATGATGGCTACTATGTTTTACTCCTGAGGGGAGGGGAAGCTCTCACAGTAGGAATTCTAGCAACCTTAACAGATATTGTGAGCTGCTCATGCTGCTTAGGAGGCCAGATTCTGTGATTTTTGTCTTTATAATAAGATTGGCATGGTCCTTCATGGACAATATCAATTTAACTCCAATTGCAGTCTCTCTTTAGACAGTATTGGTCAGCAGAATGTATTTTAGTCTTATTCTGGACAGTAAAACCTTAAACTAATATGCTTCACATGCCTTTCAAAGAAAGGTTCAGTGTTTCTTTTAACTCTGAGGCAGCTCCCTGGAATAACATGCTTGACCTCAGCCTTGGCAGACATGGTGTCTGCTTCTGCACAAGTGTGGGAATGGAATTTGAATACTCTCAAGCCTAAACTTCATATGCTTTTCTTTAACATTTGGGGGAGGACCTTTTTGGGGGAGAAACCAGAGAAGTTACAGATGCATCAGCAGGGAGTATTCCTCTCCAAAAGTACTGAACTCATGACCCACTGAAACTTTAGAAGGAAGGGACGACAACCCATGACTAGGAGACACAGACCATCCAGGAGAAAAGCAGCCAGTAAATGCCCTGGATGGGCTACGAACAATCTTGGTCATAATCAGACTTGCAGAAAGTAGGACAGAGCTGCTGAATAGGTTGAACACATTAATCAGTTGAAATCATGTAGATTAACAAATTCCAATATCCCTATATTGGAAAACACTCTTTGTAAGAAGCAGCCCATGCAAACCTTATTTTCAATGCAGAAGCAGGGTCCCAAGGTTTAGGGGAGAGCTTAATATGGCACAGTGAAAAACCACAGATACTTCTGGGTCTGGAATTTTTGGGAGTGCCATTGTGAAAAATAACTTCCAGTAGAAATAAGCCTGCAAAGTGAAAGAGGAGGAAAGTGTGGAGGAAACAGCGAATTACAAAGCCAGGAAATGGTTTAAACAGGCAGCTCTACTGTGGGAACAGCACTGTAAACAATTGCTATTCTTAATCTTACAGTCCTAAATGCTGAGAAGTTATGTTGGCTTCTGCATACCTTATCTAAAACAAGGGCTGTGGGATAATGCAAAAGTAATAAAACCACCCCATTCTAACTGATCACAAAATGAAAGGCTTTTACAGGGTGGCACTGACTTGCTTCTACTCCAGAGTAAGGAAAGTCACTTTGAACATTTTTTTTTAAAGTAACCTCACATCATTACTATGTTTTCTTGATTTTAAACTGCCTATAGTAATGTTGAGAGCAGTTCTTAGGGTAACATTAGTGTGGAAAATATGGAAGAGCCTGATGAAACATGCACACATATAAACAGTCTGCAAATGCTTTTCTAATATTTGAATCTGTGTTGCAGACTCAAATTACATTTCATATCTTCATTTGATACTTGCAATTTATATAAGTTTTTGTTATGGAACTTAAACAGTTGCAACAAAGCAATTGAATATTATAATCAATTCAGATTTTCAGGTAATAAAATGATCTATCTGGTTTGGCTGCTTTATTCACTCTTCCTCTGGTACTTTCTTGATAATAATCTATTTTTCACTGCCCCACATGGACTTGCTGACATCCAAAAATGCCAGTGGGTTTGAAGATTTATCTAGGGACTGAATGTTAAATGGGTGAGACAGCTCATTATACTTTATACTGGAATAAAAGACTTTATTAGTTGCCTCCACTCTCCAAGACATTGGTCACCTGCTAAGCTGCCATGGGTAAAGCCAGTGCTCCCCTCAGGTTCTTGTGCAATGGCACAGAGCCAGAAAGGATTTCTATTGGTGCATGGAAGGGTATTAGTTGCCTCCACTCTCTCTATCAAGGAACTTGCTGGTGTAGAAAGATATCTGCATGGAGGGAGAGAAGCCCTGGCTTATTGGTCACCTGCTAAGCTGCCATGGGTAAAGCCAGTGCTCCCCTCAGGTTCTTGTGCAATGGCACAGAGCCAGAAAGGATTTCTATTGGTGCATGGAAGGGAGCAGCAATCTTTGTCCCAGGAAAATTAAAAATATTTGAGTTAGTTCTAGCTTTTATTAACATAATCATTTTTAGTTTAATTTTCTGAAGCTCCATTTCCTGCAGTTTTTTAACCTTTTGGAGCTTGAAAATGTCACATATAAACACATTAGATATAGATTTTTAAAAAGGAGAGAGAGAGGCAGAATAGTCAAACTTCACTTTGGTGCCTCAGTACAATTTCAAAGCTATGCTACACTGCTAACTTATGCAAATTTGATTAATTAAATGGCAATAATTTAAAATGCTGAAATTAAAGGTCGCTTTCCTTCTTCTAATGAAAAAAAAGCCTCCAGATTTGCATTCCCTCAGAGAAAGTGAATGCCCAACTTAAAAGGTTTTTGCTGCAATGTTAAAATACTTAACTTTAGGCTACAAGAAATGAATTGGATTTATTTTTTAACTAGTAAAATCTCTGAAGTTGTTATTACTGAGGAAGGGAGAAGTAGGTCATGCAGTTCCATGTTGTAATATATTTATGACTTTTGTTTCCAGACTTTAGTTTAATCAAGGAGGTTATCCTCCACTGCCTGATTTTGAATTTCAGTCCTAAATTGCTTGGCTTGAATGTCTTGATGTTGACACAGATTAATACCAGAAAGCAGAACACCAGAAGGCATTCTTCTGGATCGCATCAGCCGATTAGTAATAGCTCTTGTGAAATAACAGCTTCCAGCACACAGGGTCACTTGAGGTAAGTTTGTCTGATTTGAGTTTGGGATATCAGAAGTAAAGAAAGGGAGGTAAAATCACATGACCCATAGCTGGTTCTGGTGGAGCAAGGAGAATATAAGTCATCTAAGGACATCCCAAATTTGCTTCCTTCCTTTAAGGGAGACAGGATGCTGTGCCTTGACTTTGCAGTTACCGGCTGGCTGCTACAGGTTGCCTGTTAATTAGTTTTGGTCTGTTCATCATGCTCAAAATCAGAAGCAGCATTTAGCCTGAATTTTCGGTTTACCATTCTTGTCACTTATGATATAAACATATCAGTAACATTTCAGGAGGTGTCTTAGGGTTATTTCAAACATAAAATGCACTAGGAATCCAAAGTATATCATGCTGTCCTGACTAAGGCTGCTGTGGTAGATGCTCTGTCCAAAACCTTTGGTGCTTCAGTTCCCTTGAGGCACCTAAAGCCTGCATGGTATGATAGGTTCAAGCTGGGGGTGGTCCAACTGCTGTTAGGGAGGGCTGTAATATATCTTTAGTCCTATCCTTCCAAGAGAGAAACATGGTTTCTTGTGTGCAAGAATGTTACTGGGTGCTAGTGTGCCAAATGTTTTTAATAATGCTGAAGTAATTGCTGTAAGCAGAGGTTAGTAGAACTGGAATATAGTCCTGTATCCCTTGACACATCCTCTTCATCATGTTGACAGCTACACGACAGCTGTCCTTTCAATATTTGCCCTTGAAGCAGTGAGTATGTAAAGAGAACAGCAACTCTCTTCAGTACCAGGGCTTGGTTTCTTGGTCTTCAGCACACTAACAGTGTGCAGGTCTCGAGTCCTAGCTTGGAGCTCAGTATCCTAAAGAGGTTAAATAGCAAGGAATTATCATTTAAATACAACAGTGGGTGGGGAATAGAGAGAAAGCAAAATATTGTGAAAGCTCTCCGTGTTGTGGGGATAGTAGCAGTGGAGGATGGGGAATAAACACCTGCTGGGCTTTCTGCCACTGGCTGGCTTGTGTACAAGCTTGGCTAAATTTTCATTCATGTGGACAAGATAATGCAGTAATTTCAGCTTTGAGTCTCTTGACTGAGGCTTCATCCAAGCATTCTGTTCTCAAGAGAGGAAATGTTAGTGCTCCTTGGAACTCCTGCTCTGCCAACACGTTTCAGGTTAGGTATGAAGACAGTGTTGCTGCTCTAGATCAGCATCATCTTTCCATTTTTTATTCCTTACTTCAAATAGACCTTACTTCAAATAGACTTTGGAGTCACTGGGAAGTAGCAAGTACAAAGTGATGGAGTTCATTGTTTCACAGTGAGTTACACCACTGGCTGCACTAATCAAAGGTGTCATTTGCAGTCATCAGAAATATGTCTTTTTATTTGGCTGATAGTAATGCAAAACTTACAGTGGCTTGACACATATGTGATACACATGAACTTTGAATTTATCTTGAAAGTGGAAAAGGCTGATAGTGTCAGGTCTTCCCTCAAGGCAAAGTCAGCAACTCAGCTCTCTTCTCACAGCACAGGATTGATTTCGAGCTCCCTTCCTTAAAATCTAATTAATGGTTTCCACCTTGGAGCATCCCCACCCTAGGAAGGGTTGCAATGTACAACAAAAAGCAAACAGTTTGTAGAGGAATAAAATACAGATTTACATCAACATGGCTGGGATAGAGAGGTGTTATAACTTTTAAATCTGTTGTTATAAAGAGTGAATGATCATGCAGACAAAGAAGGTCTTGATGATATACTTAATTTTATGAGATATTTGGAAAATCCTTTCTCAAAAAGCCTTGACTCATGCTCTCTTAGTCACTGTAGGAAGAATCTATGAGTGTTAATAAATGACCATTTATTCTCTGTTCTGTTTCTTATCTTTTCACCAGTTTTCACAGTGGAGAGAAGTTACTAGCACTGTCATCTCAAGATTTGTAGGGCTGGATATGGAGAAGGAGAAGAGAGTCACAGGAAAGTGGAAAATGTGGGGGATATTCAGTTAATTCTGGAACCCAAGGTTGATTGTAAAATGAGGTGTTGCTCTTAGTGAAAAGCATTTCCAGTGTGTGTGCGCCTACAAGTGCAACAGCCTATAAAATAAATGCTTGTCTGTCAGAAAGAGCTTGGAATCATCCTGGTTAGTGTTCAGAAGACAGCAGGGGTGATTAAAAAGACAATGCTGAGGGCTGGAGCCAAACTCACAAGCCATCTGTTGCACTGTAAATCCAGTGCAGGATCTGCTGGCCCGTGCTGTCCAGAGCAGTGATGTGTGGGTGGCTTCGCCAGTCCTCCGAGGATGTGAGGGGGAGCTTTGGCAGAGATACCCGAGGAGATCCTGCTTTGTCTTGCAGTATCCCATCATATATAGACAGTAATTTTTCAGTATGTTAACATCAGCTGAATATTTGAACTGGATCAAACAAAGGAGGAGTGGAAATAATGAAAAGAGATGGTGATCAGAATTTAAACTCTACTTGAAGAGCTACAGACATTCTGCACCCTGACTTTCTTTCTTTCCCCAGCCATTCAGTATTTTCTTAAACATACTTAATAAAGGATATTTGTAATCTAACATTGCTTCTGTTCCAAGACTAGGGCACCTCTGCCACGACTCAGTTCAATAATCTCAAAGAAACTTAATTTTGTTAATTCAGGTATCTATTATTTTTCTTAAACAGGAGTGAGTTCACAAAGTAAAAACTATTCCTGCTAAACTAATCCACAGCCCAAGACAAAGTGATTTCTGAGAGGCACTTAAAGTAAAATAAGCCATGCATATTTTGCAGTTAGGAGCTGTTTTCTTTTCCTTTAAAGAAGAATTTTAAGAAGAATAAAAAGTGACAGCCTACCTACGTTTTTCTGTAGGGTAACACTTCAAAATGTGACTATGTCTATATACACTATATGTCCTGAGACATTTGGTCAATGAAATAAAATTATCAAATCCATCCCTATTAAAAATCTTAAACAAAACCACGTCTGCTCTCTTGTTATGGAACAAGAAATCAAATTTAAATATTTAAATGATTATATACAACCTGAAAAAGGAAAATATAACCTGAGGTAAATGTATAGCTATCTTGAAAGCACCTTTTGTTAGAGAAAGGATGAGTAATTAAACACATGCCAAACCTATAGAGAGAAATTTGATTTACGGCATGAAATTTTCTAAAACAATTGCAGTACTGAATGCACCTGTCTTTTGCTAGAACTGCCAGCCTCGTCTGCTCAGCAGTGCTTTCAGTTTTTACACTACAATGAGGAGAAAATGCTTCTCCGTGGTTTGCTATGCCCCACTTCTCTCTCTACATTAGTCAGTCTGTGCAGAAAATTCTTTCTGTGTCGTTACAGCAGTGAGTTTGTCTTGTGTGGTAAGTATTAAAACAGCAAACAGAAGTTGCACTCAGTGGGAAGCAGAGCTTTCCTGGTGCCCTCCACGGTGCGGGAGGTAGCGAGCTCCCAGACACTGGACCAGATGCTGTGGGGTTGGATGTGGCTGTGGAGCTCCAGCCACCTGCTCCCACCCAGCTCCCTCTACTCAGACCTCGATAGGCCAAGTGCCAGCTGGGTTACCTGAAGAGTGGGATTTGACCTGTGTGTATCCATGGTCGGTGATGTGCTTTCACCCCAGCCAGCAACTGAGGCCACACAGCCACCTGCTCACTCGCCACCAGTGAAATGGGGGAGGGAATCACAAGGACAAAAGGGAGAGAACTTGTGGGTTGAGATAGATGGTTCAATAGGGAAAGCAAAAGCTGTGCACACAATCAAAGCAAAAGAAGGAATTCACTCACTGCTTCCCACGGGCAGGCAGGTGTTCAGCCATCTCCAGGAGGGCAGGACCCATCTCACACAACAGTAACTTGGGAAGTCATGATCACTCCAAACACCTCCTGTTTCCTTCTTCTGCCCCCAGCTTTATGTGAAAGCATGAGGCCACATCATCTGAGATACCTCTGTGGCCAGCTGGGGTCAGCTGTCCTGGCTGTGTCACCTCCCAACTCCTTGTTCCCCCCCAGTCTCCTCACTGGTGGGTGAGGAGCAGAAAAGGCTTTGACTCTGCACAAGCACTGCTCAGCAATTAGGAAAATATCCCAGTGTTATTGACACTGTCTGCAGCACAAACCCAAAACCACCCCACACTAGCGGTCTGCAAAAACTTAACTTCCCCAGCCAAAACCAGCTCAGTTGGGCTTTTCAGCCAACAGCAGGAATTTGGGGTTAGACCCCAGAGAGGCAGCAGTGTTGAGCAGCTTCAGGCAGTGAAAGAGAGGGAACCCCAAGGTGCACAGTGCACTTTCATCTAATGGATCATGGGAGAAAGTCTCTTCAAGCACAAGAAACACCCATGCTGGTAGAATTGTACTGGAAAAATACACAGGGCAAGATGTGATTTACCCTGGACACTGGTATTTAGAAAGAGAGGAGAAGGGAATGACAGCAAATTTCCCCAGATTTTCCTTCACTAGGAAGCAATTAACAGTTACAACACTATGGTCAAATGTAAACAGAACCATCCTTAGGTTACTATAAGCTATCCATAGCTGCATGCTTCAGTACAGATGCTATATCTGCCTAGTGCAGGGCAGCAGTATGTTAAAAAAAAAAATCCAAATAAGGCAGATCGTCCATACTGGGCCTTTAGCCAACAAAATCTGCAAAGATGGATGTGCAATTTATCTTGTAGAATTTCACACTTTATTTGGAAAATAACACTATGCTTGTATGAAAGCACGTGGTTACAAAAATCAACCTGATCTTACCTTTTAGTAGTTATTCCAGAACTTGACTGTCAAGTCAGGATGCAAAGGATTTCAAAGGACACAAACTTCACTCTGTATTAATTGTACTTATGATATTACAGGTAATTAAATTGCTGCTTACAGTTAGATACGTCTAATACTACAGTTGGTTTAGATTAAGGAGTAACTATCACCTTCCCTGGATGCTTTTTACCTTCACTAGTTTAAAACCCCTCAATATTGGAATGAACTTCTCATGGGTAGAGCAGTGATGAAGCCCTGCAGGCATTCAGAAATAAGTCCCAGGAATGATTCTGTAGGGCCCTAGACTACTTGTGCATTTCCCAGATCAAAGCGTCGTCAAAAGATGAAAAAATTTACTAATTAAATGCCTAGCTCAAAATTATTCTAGCTATTCTGTAACAGATCACAAGAGACTTCTCTCCCACTTATCTCTGGACCTTTTCTTTCATGCACTAGTAAAGAATTTAAAAATAATGTTTCTCAAAGGCATAGCCTAACCCTTTTGAAGGACAGGAGTTTTGCTAAGAGGACTGGGGCATCACTCACCGGCTCAGTAGCCAGTAAAGGAGTTTTATTCTCTGCATACTGAGGAGTGCTCCAAGGTCAGCCCTCAGGAGCTCAATGTCTCAGAACTGGAATCCCTCCTGGCAGGAATCTGTGAAGCTGTAAGTTCAGGCATGACCAGACACACTTTGACAGCTCCAAGCAACCTGAAACTCAGTTTAGAAATAAGTTTATGCAGTCTTAAAATTGCTGACTAGCTGCTTCCTTCAGGGGTAGCATTACCAATTTACAAGCAGCATGTTAACCTCTGGTAGAGAGCTAAAAGCAGCAGGAGGGCCACTTTCCAGGGCAGAACTATCAAGGCAGTTACACATAACCTATCCTGCTTCTCAAGGCTTTAACTCCCTTCCTATCAGGGAACAAAGTTTTAGAAATATCAGCTAATTATTGTTATCATCCAATCTAAATGCAACTGCTTTGATTACAAGAGTCAACTAGCAGATATTTTAATAAGAATTTACAGAGAAGAAGATATGGTTTCCAATTTACAATTTAAGGATGCAAAATTAAATTTATGCTAAAGGAACTCCTCATTTGCTGCAGCAGCTTGAGGCTGGGTCCTGCTTTCTAGCAGTTTTCACATTTTAGACATGAAAAATCTTGTGAACAGACAAAACCAATTTTCAGGTAAGCAACAGCACCTCTTTTCATGCAAGAAATTGATGTTATATAAATGATTGAAATATTTATCTGGTTATCTGATCTGGGGGCATGAAGGCAGAACTGGGATTTGAGTATGGAAGCTGATCAATATGTAAGGATGAACAAACCAAAGTGCTTTATTGAAACAAAAACTGTAAAATGGAGACCTGAATTGGAAATTAATAAGCTTGAAAGCTGAGTATTTGGGGGAGGGGGAGGGCTGTTGTTGTTGTTGTGTAAAAAAATAATTCTATAGTTACATGCTTGTGACAAGAACAAGTTAGCACAGAGCAATGGTAGGAGGCTGTTTTCTGCATCTAGTAAGAGAAGTAACAGAATTATTCAAGAAGAACAATTATTCAAACAGATTATTGGGAGCACTTTTTAACAGTGGGCATACAGACATAATGGAATAAATGACTGCTAGATGAAGGCTTTGCCCTTATTGATTTCAAAACCAGCTTGAAACAGATGACAAATGTCCCACCCTGTCATCTCTAAATCCATTTGAGAAAGAGTTATGTATCACTCAATGTTCTTAAACAGGTTTTATTTTAAAAAAGGGAAAAAATAAGGTGGGCGGGGGGTGAATACTCACAACAATTCAGTCAAGTCACCCCTCCTCAAGCAGCAGCTGAAATGACTGTGAAAAGCCAAGGAAAGGTTTTCAAATCTTCCATCAGAGAGGCCTCTGCTGTACTTGGATTGATCTCCCACAGCCCTTTCCCATTACTTTAACAAGTGCTGCCCTTCAGATCCTATCCAGAGCCCACCTGAAAATAGTGTCATGCCTGTGCATAAATAAACAAGGGACTAATCATTTTACAGCTGTATGGCAAAGGATTAAAGGCAGCTCAGCCACAGGGAGGGCAGTGCTAGGGCTGGGTGGTCCCACATCCTGCACTTGCTGGCACAGCTGGGATTTCTACCCATGGCAAGTGAACAACCACACAGCCTTTGTTTACACAAACACACCCCACCTTTCCTTTCCCTTCAGCTCATCTCAAGGAAAAAAAAGGGCAAAAACTGTTGGGATAATGGTGTGGGATTTGTGCGCCTCTTGATTTATTGTACAACTCCAATATATTTTATTCAAACACTGGCAGAGGCACAATTACCAGATTTCCTCATAGGAAATGTTATGAGACATTAACCTATTGCAGAGTACTCCAGAAGAACTGGAGTCTGGAGTTAACAATTAATCTGAAAGTCAGCATTCCCTCCTTTCCACAGAGCACAAACAAAATGTACAAAGCATCTTTAAACTAGGGCTCTGATCTTTCTGTACATTAAAGCTGATTTTTCAGAAGACTACAGTACTTCCTATGGGCTTCTGGACCATCAGCTTCATATCTAGTCATAACATGGTAATCTACTGTATCAGTTCCTTTCTATTTCTAAACTATAGGAGTTGTCTTTTAAAATGAGTTGTCTCTTCCATCTCTTCCTGCCATGCTGTTCTTATGGCTAAAAAACCCCACCTTCTTCCAACTGCCAGGATGAAATGATTCCGTGCTGATGTGTAAAAATCTGTTTTTATGCCAGTATTGTTCAGAGCTTGATTACCTCTCTTCCACACTGCTGTGCATGCTGCTGTGCACTGCTGTCCTCTTTCAACCTTGACTTTGAGACTAAATAAATCACACAGCTTGGTCCTCTCCAAGAAGTTATTTCACCTGACATTTCTCTGTATCTATCAAAAATATTACTTCACACCCTTGGGGCTCGGGTGCCTATGACAAAGAACATGTTGATACCACTATACATTTGCCCTTTTCATAACTAGCTCACTCAGGGGTTCAGAGTCACCCCTTGAGCCACCAGTGTCCCCTGACCAGGCACACCTGAACACTGACTGCTGCTACAGCAGGTCTGCAAAGCCAGCTCCAGCATACCAAAGGTGTCATTCAGCTTCTGCTTGATTTGGACTTGGCCTCTTCAGAAAATCTAACTTACTTGTCTAACATCTCACAGACACTGTGGCACCAGGGACTGAGTCCAGCTCCACTGAGAGCTTTTAAATACCTCAGCCTTGAGATCTGCCTCCATCCTTTTTACCTCCTTCAGTCTCCCACCAGATTCCTGCACACTTTCTAACCTCTGGCACAGACCAGGTGCCTGGTGCTCGTGGTGCCAGTCATGCTGCACGATCCATTCCTGCCCCAGGTGTGTCCAACCTTGAGTGCTGATCAAGTGCTGCACTGGAGAAAAAACAACCACTTGTGATACACGACTGAGAAGGAGCCTGAAAGGAGAGGCAGCAAACACTGAGTCTGACTCCTTCAGTGCTTGACTTTGCAGCTCAGACATTGAACGCCTCCGTAACAGGGTGCATAGACAAGAGGTTTCCTGGCATTTTTTTAAAAGCTTATACTGAAAACAATAGATGTCAGTGATATGCACATGAGTCACTGCTAGAACTGGGACTTTTAAAGCCAGTGTACAAACATCTGTCACTTGAACCAAGGACACGAACAAGGACCTCCCCCAGACTCCTGTGTTCTGGTGGCTGGTGGTAATGCCCATTGCAGAAGGGGCTCCAGAAGCACTCCCAAATGGAGCTTAGACAAAGGCAGCTGGGTGAGACAGCTCTCACATCATCCCTTTCACTCACAGACTGAGCCCAACAGTAGCAGAAGGTGGGCAAAGACTTTATTTTTACAAATTTGAGCTTTAAAACTTCAGTTTTGCAGGAGAGCACTTATTCCCATGCATCCCACCCCAATGTGGTAAGAGAGCAGGGGGTAGTTAATAATTTCCTTATACAGAGGGAAAGATGGGAGTCTGGTTTGCAGATGAAATGTGTTTATGAAATGTGGGCTGGGAAAGGTATAGGGGAGGGCAAGTCACCACTGCCCTGGAACCAGCTCTCCACCCAGGGGCTGGTACACTGCCAGCTGTCTGCACAGCCATTTGAGCTGAGATACAGCAAGAGCTGCTGTTGAAGAGTTACCAGTTTCCTCCTGCAATTTGGACTTAGACTCATTCTGCTCTCCATCTTGCCCCTGTTCCTGCCCTGAGCTGTCTTCCTCTATCTCCTCCAAACAAGACACTTAGGGCAATTCCCAGTTCTTGGTCCCTACTCCTCCTAGCTTGCTCTGTCCATGCTCCCTCCTTTCCTCACACACTCCTAGCCAACTTTTCCAATTAAAGCAGCCAAAACTTCCTGCCTTTCCTCATCAAATCCCAGTCCCTCCTTCATCTCACACCGAAGTCCTTTGCCCCACAAATCCCACTATCCTCAACCAAAAGTGAATACCTTTCCTCATTCCCCCATGTCAACCCCATCTGCCATCAATGTCTTCTCTCTCTCACCTATAGACCTTTCCATTATTAAGCACTGGAAAGCTGAACACTGGATTTGGGGGTCTTCTTTAGGAACAACTACAGCAGGGAAAGAGGGGATAGGGAAGAAGGCATCAGTGGGAACCAGAAATGGCAGAATTCTCCCCGTCAGCCCAGTGATGCAGCCCCTGCCGTAATTACATGGTTTTGATTCCCTCTGTACCACATTGAGTTTTCTATGGGAAAGAAAGAGGTTTGCACATGCTCACTGGAGATAAGACCAATGCAGATTTTATTTGGTATAAAATAAAGATACACACACATACCAAAACCACTTTTACTGAGCACGTGCTATCCATTTTATACAAACATTAACATATTTGGCCAAATCAGAATAGAAAGCAGAGGTAAAAAAAAAAAACAAAAAAAACCAAAAAAAACACCCCAAAAACAAACAAACAAAAAAAAAACCCCCACAGGATCCTACGGCTACAAAGAGGTCATTTCCCCTACCCAAAATGGAGTTCCTGTCCCAAAACACTGAAGTGACAAATGATTTCAAAGAAATATATTTGAGAATATTTGAACACAGGCAAAAGACCACCACATCCTAAATTAAAAAGAATATGCAACTGCTTTGACTGAAATTCCAAAAGACTTAAACCTTATGCCCATGACAAAAAGTTTCAGTCTATGTACAGTTGAAGTTTGGCAAAGCTGGACCTTCAGAAACAGGGCAACAAGTTTGGAAGCTGCAGGGAAGGACTGGATTCCCACTTAACAGCAACAAGAAATGGCACTGCAGGTGCCCTAGGTTAGCAGCAGAGCTTAACATCTCAGTGCTGGAAGCAAGAATTTCACAGTACTCAATATCCAGACTGCAAGTCCTAAAATGTTAACCAGCTTGTGCAGAGCTGAGACTATCAGATATACATCTCACCAACAAACAACAGGCCCCTCAATCACTGAAACCCACCACCCCAATGTGCCTGCATCCAGCTTTCCTCTCTTTGAAACACAGCCAAGAGGACAGTCCGGGCCTGGCCCCTCATTCACACACCCACTCACACTGCCAGTGGGGTGTTGAAAACTGCTAGTGCAAGGCTTGACAAATTGTATTTCTCCCATCTCATCCTCCGTGGTGGTAGGTGTCGTGTTAAGTTAAATAGGAAAGACAAAACAACATCTCAGGTAGTCCCAGCGCTGCACGGATTGCATGGTGACTCTGAAAACTGACAGGCACCATCAGAGAGTCTCAGTGACAGCTCTCTGTGCTCGAGAAAGGAACAGAACATGCTGTCGGGCTTGTTGGCTCTCGGGGTTTAATTCAGTGCTTTAACTGCGTTACCATAACAAACCCAAAACTCTGCAGCATTTTTTATCATTGAAAGTGGTGATACTGAGAACTTAATGCAGAAACTCAGGACTTGATGCCCAGACTGATGGGGGAGGAGGGGGCTAAAATGACTCATGCAATACTGAAGTTGTTAAATAAGTAACTCCACAAACATTCTAACACTTCTGTTAAATACTGCAACTGATACCAAACTACTTCTATTGTACCTGTAGTATGAAAGTACATACTGTGGATATCTACAAGGATTCCATCAGTAATATCCTACGGAGTAGAAATAAGGTAGGGCGCAGGTATTTCTTGGCCCTGGACTTTCATAATTTCCCACAAGCAATTATGGCATGGAAATATCCCAGCCTTTTATGAATAATTACAGTACTCAAGTTTCTACCACCCTTAACTCAGATGTATGACAACCAAAAGTTAAGTAAAAACAGACAGCAGAGTTGTCTTGTGAGTATTTGTCAGTTTTGTACCCATTTCCCACTATGACTTTTTAGTAAATGAATTGTTAATTTGTTGTATGTAATGTAGCACAAGCAGGTAATTTTCATCAATCTCAGTCTGAAATAACTAAAACATTTTGACTTAGTCCTGCACTGTGATTCTAAGCCTTCCAAGTACAGGTTGGATATAAAAATGTGCTTACTGTTCTCTTGCTTAACATGCCATGTTCTGCTCTAAATGAGCAGTCATGGTTCAATTTTCTACATCATCCAGTAGAACTGTGACTTCACCTCGAACTGCCCAAGCCATAAATGTCCAGCTGCTCTCAAAACACAGTCTAACTATGGGTGTCCTGCTTTCAGCAAGTTCTGGTTGGTTCCAAAGATCTCTGCCACTCAAACTCCATGCTGGTTGTCCTAATCAGGCCTATTTCTGCCTTTTCAGATAAATACCAACACTGACATTTGACAGTACATTTGCTTTTGCTTCAAGGCCTGAGTTTCAAGACCAAGTACATGCTGTAAGCACCCTGAATCATACTGTCCAACACATCAAAACACCATAAAGAGAAAAATGGGATGCATTTGTTGGTGAGCCTTAGTTGTCCTCCTTGGGCAGAAGAATTTAGAAAACCTTCTAGAGACTGAAGCGCACGTGTCACACCACCAGTCACTAAGCAACTGTCATCCACATGCTGTTCTAAGATGTCTCTCTGGCCTACTTGCTCCTTTCTCAGCTTTGGATATTCCCTATGGATTTTTAAGATGAGTTTTCTGATGAATTCAGGTGCACTGAATGCAAACCAAAAATTGCACTTGCTATATTTTGTACACTTTGCCCAATGGAGCCTTTTTCACATTATACAAAAATCTAAAAATTAAAATAATCACTCATGGAGAGCAACCAGGCTAGTGAACAAGTTGTGCTGACAGAAATAATTATTGATACAGAAATGCATCTATCATAGAATATCCTGAGTTGGAAGACACCCACAAGGATCAGCAAAGTCCCACTCCAGGCCCTGCAAAGGACAGCCCCAACAAGGGGCTGCCCTTGGCTTCCCCTCAAAGCCCTTCACCACCTCTGCAGCTCAAACATGGAACAGTTTCAGAAAATACCGAATTATTTCCAATAAGTGGATTTTCTCCCAGCTATAAGAACCAAGTTAAGCTAGATGGTAACACTTCTTTGCTCATCATGATGAACCATTTTAAGTGAAATTAAGTGTTAGTTTTGAAAGACTTACAAAAGATATCTACCACCTGAAAGAGCATGATGAGATTCTCTGTCAAGGTGAGGAGAATGCTTAACTGCTGCATCACACAATTCTGTGATTGCAACTTGCTAAAAACAAATTAACAGGATATACCGGATTTTAATCTCCCATCCAATTTAAGAAAATAAGTACCATATCATCTTTTGGTATGCACAAAAATGTTAATTTCTTTCCAAACCTGTCAGTACAAGCCAGGCTGGGTACAGTCCCAGAAAAACCTTCCAAAATAGGCTACCTGACACAGGTTATCAAGGCATTGTACACGTGCTATCTCTAGAAATAACATTATTAAATGCCACTGGAACATCCAGAGACAAATTTTGGTGTCACAGGCACAGTGAGAGAATGCAGAAACACCCCTTAGATAATACACAAGTTTTTCCAGCACAAAATGAGACCCTGTAATTCTTACTTCAAGCAGAAACCCAAGTCTGCAAAACTGAATGAAGTATGCTACAGGGAAATGGATAAATTTGTTCAAAAATATTGTTATGACTACATTTTCCTGTCAGATAATGAAAGAAACCTGTTTCTTATGCCAGCATACTCTCAGATGGGAAGATCAAGGGGAAAAAGAGCCAAAATGAATGAAGGTTCATCCTAATTTGGTGACATGCTGTACAGCATAACACTCAGAGGACAAAAATGTACAGTGCAATTCAAACACCTCCTCCATGATAATATAACATCTTTGAACTGCCTTTATTTTCAGCACTTTGTATAAATACTGATTTCTTCCTGATCCTGGATTATCCTCAATTTAAAACTCATATTCTGGGTTTGTAGTTGAGGAGTGCATGTAAACATCCCTGTAATCCTGTACAGCCTCACGAAGCCATTTAAAGACTACCAGACTGTAATAGATTCAAAAGCAGTCCCTATGAAGTTATGAAACTGCATCGCTAAGTTACAACTGAATCTTCTATCCCCACATCAAGAAATTAAGAAACAAAGGTACATGCAGACACACACACACCCTCTTCTCACACAAGCTGCAGGATAGCTGCAGGAACGTGTAATTTTAAAATCCAGAATAAAACTTCAGGGGTTTTTGTTTGCTTGTTTGTTTCATTTGTTTGGTTGCTTTTTTTAATGTAAGATTTTATTTGGGAACTTCATGATTAATTTGTCTTAGGAAACATTTGCTTTTGTCCAGGAGTTGCCAGCTGAGAGGATGTTATTGTTTGGAAGGGATGTGATCAGGAGGACCCTGTGCACGGCACAATGTGTCAGCCCGGAAGCCAGGGAAGAAAAGTGATTCTCTCATCTGAGAGAGAAAACAAAACGGAAATGTTGAGCATTTGCCTTCCAGTTTCATTCACCCCTACACGTGTTCCAAAGAAACATATTAGTCACCTGTACCTCACATCAGTATCAGCAAATTATATCAATGTATGTATATTCAAAAAATCCTACAATTACAGATTTCTTTAGAAAAGCAAAGATTTCTGCCACAAGCATCTTCAAAACACATAAGCAGGCGAATGCTTACCCTCCCTGCACTGCTTACCCTGCTGCTCAGAACGATGGACAGAGCTGTTCCCCTTCCTTCAGCCCCCTCCCCACAGCACCAGCAATGGACAGGGGCAGACACCATCCCTGCAGAGCAGGTTTGGGGCAGGAGAGCTCAGTCCTACCCTGCAGCAGGAACTCTCCTCATGGCTGCCCAGGCCCCTGCTGACCCCTGCAGCGACTTCACAGAAGCCTCTTGTGTTTCAGTAGCAGTAGGACAGCTGTCAGTGTGATTCAGAGCTCCAGAAGGGCAATGCTCTCACAGGAGCACCTTCCAGGCCCTCTAGTTCCTTGCTGAGAGTCTTCACCTGGGGGATTTTTAAATTTTCATGCAGTTTGTTTGTAGCATACCTGTTCTTTGTACATGATCACAATTTCAGTGATGCCGTGCTAGGAGGACACCTCTTACCAAACCTCCTGGTAAATAAAACATCCCCCTGCCCTCTCCACACAGCCCAGAAGGAAAACAGCCACAATGAAGCCACAGCGGCTCGGGGGGCCTGGACCCTGCAGCGCTGCCTGTACCCGAGGCGAGGCAGGTGTCCCTCAGCCGGGGCCGCCCCGAGGGATCGCCGGGCTCGCCGAGTGGGCCCCTACCATGCCAGCGGTGACCCCGCGCTCAGCTCTGCCCGACGGCGCCCCTCCGTCCGCCCTCGGGCCCGTCCGGGACGTGTGGCTCGGGCGCTACCGGGCGTCGCCGGCGCTGAGGGGGTAGGCGAGGATGCTCATGGCCTCTCCGCACGCCGCCTCCACCTGCCGCACCTGCTGGCGGCTGAGGCGCTCCCGCCAGGCGTGCACGGCCTCCCGCGCGTCGCGGGCGGAGATGAGGAAGGGCCGGTCGGAGGAGTAGGCGGCGCCGCGGGTCATGTTGACCACGAAGTCCTCCAGGGCCGGCGGCACCGTCAGCCCGGCGAAGCGCAGCAGGCGGCGCAGCTCGGCGCGGGGCTCCTGCACCAGGTCCTCGTAGCGGAGCTGCGTGTAGCGGCGGCGGAGCCAGTCCGGGGCGCGCCGGGCCAGGAGCAGATCGCGGAGCCAAGACTGGCAGATCACCTCCAGCGCGCCGCCGAGGAAGAACTCGGCGCGGTGCTGCGGCTGCGGCGGCCGCCCCCCGCCCAGCAGCCCGGGCGGCAGCAGGAGATGCTGCTGCTGGTGGCGGGCCGGGCCCCGCGGCTCGGCGCGGTGGCGGCTGCGCAGCACCTGGACGCTCTCCCGCAGCAGCGCCTGCCGCGCCTTCAGGCGGGAGTTGTGGACGGCGCGGGGGTCGCGGAAGAGCTGCACCACGCGCAGGTTGAGGCCGGGCTCCCGCAGCAGCGGCAGCAGCGCGCCCAGCTCCAGCAGCCGCACGTCCTTGATGACCACCACCGGGTACTTGCGGCACTCGGCCTCCAGCTCCCGCAGCGCCCGCGGCGGACACGTCTCCTCGCAGGTGGCGCCGTCGACGAGGCCGATGTCGCCGCGGGGCCGCGGGGCGGCGGGGCAGAGCGGCGGCGAGCAGATCACCTTGTTGGTCCGCCAGCCGAAGATGCTGGCCGTAGTGAGGTTGTCGGCGGCGGGCGGGGCGGGGGCCAGCGGGTCGCGGGGGCCGGACGGGGCGGTGTAGAGGCGCAGGACGGAGAAGTCGCATCGGAAGAGGGCGCGCAGCATGTCGCGGAGGGCTCCCTGCAGGCTCAGCGCGTCCCCCGGGTAGAGCGCCTGCCAAAGGTGCCACATGGGCTCGTACAGGTAGAAGACGTCGGGGTGCTGGTTGAAGAGCTCCCCGAGGAAAGAGGAGCCCGTTCGCCAGGTAGCGTGCAGGTAGATGTGCCGCTTCCCCGCCGTCCCCGCGCTGCCGTTACCCGCCGCCCCGGCCGTGCCCGCCTCATCCTCCTCCTCTTCCTCGTCCAGCGGCGGCCGCTGCTCCCAGCCCCACTCACTCAGCGCCTCCTCCAGGCTTGGGCAGCGCCGCAGCAGCGGCTCCTCGTCCGTTCGCCCGCGCCTGGCCCCGTAGTCCAGCGCGTAGGGCACCAACAGGAGCAGCAGCAGCGTGTACAGCACCAGCACCGCGGCGAAGCGGCGATGTTCGCCTCGCCACCGTCGCCGGCCCTTCATCGCTGGGGCCGGCTCGGACCCCGGCTCCGCCGACCCTCTGTTTGCCGGAGGGCGGCTCTTTGCGGAGAAGCAAAGTTAGCGGCGGCGGCGGCGGGGATGTGGGCGGCGGGCGGTGCTCCCCGCCGGGGAGCACGCCCACGGGCACGCCGGCCCGGCTCCGGGCCGCTGGCCGCGCTCTCCGCTGCCTCCTCCTCCTCGTCCTGCTCCTCCTCGCAGCGCGACGCGGAAGCGCCCGCACCTGCCCCCGCTGCCGCCTGAGCAGCCGCTGCCGCCGGCGGGGCGCGGACTGCTGCTGCTCCCGGTGCCGCTGCTGCTCCCGGTGCCGCTGCTGCTCCCGGTGCCGATGCTGCTCCCGGTGCCGATGCTGCTCCCGGTGCCGCTGCGCCGGGCTCCGGGCCGCCCCTCGCCCGGCCTCCCTCCCTCCTCCCCCGGGCAGGGCCGGAGGGGCGGGCTCGGCACGGCGGGACTCCCCCCGCCCGGGAAGGGGCGCACCGAAAAGGAGGTGTGATAGCCAGGACAGGTAGCGGGCAGCCGAGGGTGTCCCGAGGAGGAGTGGTTGGTCCTGCTATTCACCAGAGCTCCGGAGAAAGAACACGCAAGACGCTACAGTAAGGAGAAGAGGTGCAAATGTATTTTTAGGGTAGCCGACAGCTATTAAAATCTGCAGCGAGTTTCAAAATGCTGCAGTTCTGCGCTGTAGAGAGCTGCGGGGTGTCTCAGCCACATTTTTGTCTACGTGTGTGTGCTGATGGGATGCGGACATCTCGATCATGACTCATTGTTCCAGTTTTTACACCTGTAAGTTCCGTAGCTTCCAGCAGGTCACCCTTTGCAGCTGGAAGGAAGAAATGGGCACCTACGGAGGGACATTCAATCTACTGTGGATGTCTTCCTGATAGCCCTTTTTGTTAACTACAGTGGGAGCATAAAGTTACCAGTTCCAACGTAGACTTCTGGTTTTTTAGACATCTAAGATTATTTGAAATCTCCTGGGAGATGGAAAGTCAACAAGATGTTGACTTCAGGTGTTTAAATTAAAATATATATTCTCAGAACCTCCAGCCCAGCCCCTGCCTGACCTTGGAAGATGCTCACATAAGGAGGTGGACCGTGATCCCTTGTTCCTGGTCCAGGCATCCAGCTGACAGGAAAGTGAGGTCACGTCCCTGTCCTGCTGATGGTGTAGTGGGAGCTGCTGACAGTCCTGACCTCTAGGCAAGAGGTGGCATCCTCTGTAAAACAGTAATATTTAAGTATGGTGTGCAGAGAGGATAACACAGTTCTTGCCCTTTGACTCCCAGAAGAGTCTTTATGGTATATAAGCACCTGTGATTAGGCACGACACCACATGCAACAGAGAACAGAAACAACCCATTAGTTTCATGGGTTCTAAAAATGCTCCATCCATACAGATATATAGATACACAGCCTGAAGATGCTGGACATAGTATGAATGTCCAGTTATTAAATAATAATCTAATTTTGAATTTGTCAGGAAAAGCACAAGGACCAGAAATCAAGGTGAGAGAAAAAAAGCAGGCTTCTCTTCTGTCCAGGTGGTGAGCCAGTCGTCTGCCTGCTAATGCTTTACTTACCCCATGTTAATAAGTGTTAAAGACTGGGCTTCCTGCCCTTTATGGCGTGCTGAGTGAGTAGAGGATGCCAAACAAGATTTGTGAGCTCCTTAGCAGAAGAATGTCAAAATTATAGCATTGGAAAGGAAATTCTGCCTCAAGATACATTTCACTGCTTATGTCTTTAAACACCAAGATACACCAGTATCTCACACTTAGCAGCGTGAGTTTCACCTCTGACTCAATAATACCAGAATTTCATCCAGACTTTCAAACAACTAAAGGAGGATGACAGAATAAAAACACACTTCCCTAAATCAGGTTACAGTCTTGTCAAAAAAATCCCTCCCTCATCCAAAAACCATTTATATTTAGAATTTTGACAATCTTCAGTGTAGCTGACTTATGTGGCATAATGTAAAAAGTAATTTGGATAGATTTACCAAGATGGGATCCTGAGAAGTGCTGATGAGAATGGATAACTCTGAAATGCTGGGATTTCCCCTTTGTAAGACAAAATACTGGCAGTAGCGTCAGCACCAGTGATGGCCAATGAGCCATGCCGCAGGACATGTTACTTTAAACTAATTTTGTATGGGTTTCTATGATACATACTTAGGCCTAAGAAACTAAAATCAAGGTCTTAAACCTGCCTAACTGAAGTAAAGCTGTCTTGTAAAGAATCAAACATCTCACAGGGTAAGACAACCCATCAGAAGAATGCGAAACCATAGAATTAAAACTATGTATGTCTTATTTTTTTTTTTTCAGAGAGTGGAGCTACAAAATTCTGTGGCAACTGTTCTAGAAAAAATGAAAGACGCAAATAGCTTTATCACAAGTTACATATTTTAGTAAAGATAAAACCATAGTTGTTAAAATATTATCAGATCAAAAAAGAATGACAGTAAATGTTTTGTTCTGCACCTTCACAACGGTTCCTCTAGTGCAAGAGGATTAGCTGTAAATGTTTACTTCAGTTGTTTTGGGTTACAGCTGTTTTTGGCACAGGGAGATTCCAGCAAAGCCAGTATTTATTTTGTCACCCAGCAGGTGCCTGAGCTAGACTTGTAATCGTTGAGCTCCAGCCTTCCTGAAGAAAGTGCCTACTTCTCAAGAAGTACCTAATTTGAGCACTGGGGAGTGGACTGCTGCTTTGTATAGAGTGGGAAGAGATCAGCTTTCTCTTTTCTCGATTTTCAGTTCCGTACTGTGTTGTCTCTTCAGCACAGATAAGAGAGATAATTTTTCCCTATTTAGGCTTTTCTATAAACCACGAAGACAACATTTAAACATACAAATGATCTGCATCTCTTTCTAAGATCAGGACGGTTCTGTACCCAAGGGAGACAGCCAGGTTTTTCTTCACTGATCTGTGAAGTAGTCTGCCCATTTGGCATCTAGCTCCTGCTATTTTTTTTGTGGTAATTTTATGCTTAATATTATTTTGTAAAGAGGGGGGGAAAGAATATAGGCATAATATGTTCTGCATACTTTAGTATTGCAGTATTTCCTTTCTAGTTTCCAAGCTTGTCACTGTAAGTACTGGCTGTTTTTAATATAACATAACATTGGCTTCCTGTGTATTATCTCTCTAACTTAATTTTTGCTCTTCTGTCTCCCACGGTGCTTCTACTGTCAAGAGAGACAGTAAATGCTGGAATGCAGCATTTCAGCCTCAATAATTTTTATCTTCTCAGCAGAGGCTTCAAAATAGAAATAGTTGCCTCTATATCTCACAATCTTTCAGCTCTCTCATGCTCTTGTCATTTTCACAGAGTACTTTGTGAATAAAAATAGCTTGATTTGCTGATAAAATTAAACATGCTTTGCACACAGAGCACCGCCCTCCAACATCCTGACTGTTAATGAGCTCTCTGCTTGCACATGTTGTCACTCTCAGGCTTCAGCCAAGAAGAAGTCCGTGGTTAGTAACAGCTTAAAAACCTTCCAGAAGCCAACAAGCTAGGACAAATGTCCTTATTTTTGAAGTTACTTTGTCATCAGATGTTCCAACATGTGCAATACCACATGTTTCGCATATGGGACCAGACCTAGTAGCTCACATTTTAGAAAGGGCATGTTGAGAATAGTGGGAAGGACAAGCTGGTCCAGGCGAGATGGCTGGTACAGGAGGGACTTTTTGCAATATAGTTTTCCCCAAAAGTGGAACAGAGATTGAGGACCTGAAAAAGGTCAAAAATGTCACAGAAATTCTGAAAGACTCAATGGAAATTTAGAGGATCTGAAGAAAGTGGAAAGTAAGACAAAAGCAGAGTAGACTTCTAATAGTTGGGTGGAACTGGCTCCAGATGCAAAACCACATTCAGAAGGTAGCAATTCAGCTTTCTGCATGTACACCTGATGTCACTCTTGAGCATCTGCAAGGAGCACAAGGTCCATCTTGTATACTCTGATCATTACACTGGCACAGGGCCAGACCTCTGAGTTTCTCTGTGGGCTGATTTGAGAGAAGCCAGGTGTACAGTTACTGGTCACAGCCAGCACAGCTTTGTGAGAGGAAAGCCCTGCTTATCACACCCGATTTATGACAAGGTAACCCACCCAGGTGATCAAGGGCTTGGATTTCAGTAAAACTTTCAATACTGTCTCTCACAGTATCCTTCTGGACATAATGTCCAGAACACAGCTGCATATAATTTTTCCAGTTATTCCTAAGAACTGGTAAAGCTGTAAAGTTAGGCCTGCTGCTGCTTCCTGACATAAGGGCTGGGTACAGAGAGTGAGCTGAGAAGGGGTTCAGATTAAGCCAAATTCAGCACTGCAGCCTGTATTTGGGCTAAGGGATGCTTGATAGCCCAGTGCAGCATTGCTGAACCAGCTGCAGCAGCCTGACATGTACCTAGCTAGGGGAGCTCTTCTATGCCCAAGAGAAGCAGAGACATTTTATTTCTGCTGTTGATTTATCTAAAAATTAAAATGTAACAAATATACTACACTGTAATTGTCAGAGTAGAGATTGTTTGTGGCTTTCCAAAAGTGTGAAATCTGAGTATTGAAATGGCAAAAAAACCAAAAAAAAAAAAAAAGGAAGCAGGAAGGTTTGGGGTTTTTAAACATGGTTATGTCATCAGTGATCTTGTGAGCTCCTCCAACTTCCTCTAAGAAAGAAGCTAATGCCATCATTGAAGATGATAAAAAATGCTACTAGAAAATGTAATAAGAAAATGCAGGAGGTGGAAGGCAGAGCAAAGTAAGCTTATGTGTCTGTTGAGGTTCAAGAGGAAACTCAGAAGGAAGTCTGTTAGTATTTCTAACGGTGTAAATTCAGATAAATCAGCAACAATGAAAGAAAAAAGCATCTATTCTGTAATCCAACTCAATGCTAATGTAACTTGTGTTTTCCTAAATTCTGCCAAGGATGACTCTAATCTGAAGACTTTAAACCTGTCCCCTGTGGAGTGGGCTCCGTTGTCCCATTAGCAGAAAGGCAGCTCTCTCACAGCCCAGAAACACTTACACTACACAAATAGCCAGCACCTTCATCCCACTGCCTGGCATTTAACAGTAGCTGCCACAGTAAAATTAT